ATACATATGGGAGAATTTTGCAAATGGTTTGAGTCAAGCATGATATCCACAAAAAATAACATACTCTGAATTATTCATACTGCGACTAACATCACCAGTAACCGAGCTTGTTCGAGATATATAACTTCCAGAACCAAACTTTTCAGCTGGAAGAGACTCCACATGGACAACATGGTCAAAAACCAATGCTACTGCCTGCCTGAAGGTAGCAGCAGCAGTGCTGCAAAGGGATTAAGATGAAAAGGATAAGTTTAGTCAGAAAAGAGGGAAACATCACTACAGAATACAGAAGTCTATGAGGGAGAGGTTGCTCATAATATTCTTGACCTCCAGAGCAACTTACTTCCGAACACTGTCAGAAGATCGGTTGTTTTCAAGAAGTCGAAGGCAGATTCCAAGAGCTTGAGCCATATTCTCCTGATAATTATGCAATAGCCAACGGAGAAGGATAAGAGAACTGGAACTGGACTTACTTCTTAATTAATTCAGCCATTTCAGAAGCCTCGTAGCATTTAATGATTCCAACAGGTAATTACTACTTAAATGCAAAACCATTTTTTTCTCTATTCATATATATGCCACTTATCAGGTGCATCCAACTGCAATAAAATTGATTTCTACTCAGGCTAGCCAATAGACATCGATTCCAAGTATACTCAATATATTCCCACCACCAAAATAGCTTAAGATTATGCATATAAATTGTACACATACAAATACATCAAGTTAGTTGCAAAATAATACAAAGCTTGCTTATTCTTCACTAAAATATGTTGTTTAAAGAACTTCACTCTGAACAGTTGCTGGCTTCAGTTCAGCCAAACTACATTTTATAAACTAGTGCAGACAATGAAAACAAGCATGTAAGCATTGTTTACCTCACTTTCAGGATGCAACCGTGACTGAAATATTATCAATATAGTCTGTAAAGTCTTTAACTGAACAGTCTCATCTGACATTTCTGCATGCTGCATGAAGAGCAACAAATATGCAAGATTTCAGTGGAAAAAAATTAACCATTTATCGCTAAGTTAGAAATTTATGTTAAAGATGAACCTATTGTGCATTCCAAATACAAGCATAAACTTACATCTTTTAACGTAGGAAGTATCTCATTGACAACTGATGGGGCAACTGCATCATGAGATATGAGCTTTTGTAGACATGAAAGTCCAATAACACTAAGCTTGACAGTTTTAACCTCACATGCCATTAAAAATATCCGTACTATGTCCTCATTATGTGAAATTTCACTGGGACTTGACAATGTACGAAGCTGCAAAAACGCGAGTTCCAAACTCAGCCGCTGCCAAATCAATGAAGCAAAACAGCATCTCCTCTAATCTCATTGCTTCCAAGGTATCGCATAGGATTTAAAGAGTTTCATAGGCTTCGAGAATTTTAGATTGATCTCAATCATCAGAATAAATAGCATTATCTAAAAAAATCCCTTCAATTTCCAAAAGTTAGCTTAATTTTACTTTCAAAACAGATGCTAAAGAGTCCAAAACCTAAACTATAGCAGTAAATAAATGTAAATCGTGACCTTTAATATGGCGTGTTCTGCGGCGTCCTTGACGGCGGGGAATCGGCGGCGTGCTTCGGCGGAGAGAGCGCGGAGATCGGATTCAAGAACAGCCATGAAAGCCATCTCCTCGAAGCGCTCTCTCTCTCTCTCTCTATCCTTCTCTGTTTGTTTTTTGTGAATCGAATGAATTGTTAACTAAGATTGGAAAAGATAAATATATGCATTGAGATCGAAGAGCTCGATCGCAGAGAAAAGAAAAGAGAAAGTGAGATTTGTAGATCTCGTTGTTTGACTGAGAGATCTGTTTGGGCAGGAGAGTGTTTTCGCACATGCGAATGACACGTGTGAGGTTGGTAGAAGAGGGAGAGTGGATACTTTGCCCAGATTAATGGTTTTTTGATGGGCTTGTATAAAAAAATCTTAGGTCCAACCGAAAATTGCAGGCTAAGATTTAACAGCCCAATTCAATCCAAATAATTAATTTATTATTTTATTTATGATAAAAGGGTAAAAAAAAATCTCAGAACTAAAATTTAAAAATCATCCAGGTCTTTATTTTTTTGCAATTAATTAAAATTTTAAATATTTATTTTCTTCTATTAAGCCCTTCTTAAAAGAAAATAATTATTTGCTCAATTCCATTGAGTTATTAATTGAGTGAAAATTAATGTTTAATAGTTCAATTAGATGAAAATATATGTTTAAAAATTTAATTGATTCTAAATAAAAAATTCAAAACTTAATTAATTTTACAATAAAATATCAAGAGTTTAAATAATTATTAAATTTTTATTTTAGGGATTTTAATATTTTTATACTTTTATTTATCTATATTATTAATAACGAGTGAGTTTTCATGTCACAAATTAAATAATATCAAATTAATTTTGAAATTTTATAAAAAATAAAGTAAATTTAATATAATAAATATAAAATTACAAATATTACAAAAAATATTACAAAAAACTACAAAGATTTTAAAAAATTCTTACATGGATTACCAAAAACACTACAAAGATTATCAAAATTCTTAAAAAGTTGCCAAAAACACAACAAAGGTTACCAAAATACGTATTTCCCAGATATGGAAACTGAAAAACAGGCAAACCATTGGAAATTTTACCAAACAATTCATCAACCGGAGATAATTCATATCTAAGAATGTCAAAGAAACAAGAACAAATCAATTTTCAACAATAGCAAATTTGAGTACCGGTTTGATGCAGAATGATAGAACTGTATCTAGTTAAGTAGTTCTCATCTATATGTCTACAATATCTAAAGGTACAAATGAAATGTTGTCCCACTAAGTTTGAAGCTGAAACAGGACCAGGAAAACCTTTATCTGGCATAACCATAACCCAAATTCTGAACAAATTCATCTTGTTCACAACAAAGAAGACTGAAACTTCATGAATTTACATGATAAATTAAATTGGTTATTCATTTTACAAGTCCCAACTTCCCCAAGAAAGACAGCTCCTTGAGTTATTGGTTTTAGAAACACATATTTGCAAATATCCCACATCGGAAATAAGCAAATAGAGGAGGCCGTTGATGCTTTAAATAAGAGAAAAAAATTAACAAATTAATTTATACATACCTGGACGGGGTCAATGGGCGATCAAGAAGACCCATGGCCTAGGTTGATGGCTTTTCATTGCACATCTCGAAAGTGCATCAGCCTAACATCTCCCTTTCTAAGCGGAGAGTGTACGTCAAAATTTATGGTAGTTGGGGGCCTGTGTTCGCGCGGCCCCCTCTAACAATTAAACAAATCCAAACGCAAACGAACTGATATAAAGGGGATCTCGAAGCGGCAGCTAATAATTAGCCGTATGAGTTGTCACCTTAGGATAAGTAAATTTTGGTTGGTGTTTATTTTAGAGGTTGCAAATGAGTGGGTAGCTTGTTCAAATTACCCAAGTTCAACTAATTTGATTTCAGTTCATTTTAGTAGATATTCGGAATGCTCATTTCAAGTTAAGGGTATTGAGATTTTAAATTCAGGTTAATTCAAGTATTTAATTGGCATTTCGAATTCAAGTTAATTCGGTTTTAGATTGTTTTTATTCAACTATTTTCATATAAAATTTGGTTAGATTAGTACGGATTCAAATGAATTTCTTGGTTCAGGTCAGTTTACCAATTTTAATAAAAATTATTGTAGGTTGAATGACTTTTGCTTGCTATTTTTTTATGATCCACGATTAATAAAGATTGGCATATGCAAAGCAATCAATACCGGATGTGAGATCGGAGATAAATGGAAATTAAGGTAATGGAAACATACTCAAAAGGAAACTCGTTTTAAGGCTGCTGCAAATTCATGGTAACCTGCGAGGCAACGATGACTCGAAGAACAAAAAACTGTAAAATCTTGCTGTATTTAACACTTTGTAGAACAAATTTGCAGAAAATCCAATTTGTAAGGGGTCTAGGAAACTGAACCTTTTTAATCAGTTGAAAAAAGAAAAGAAATCATTTGGAAACAAATGCTATAATTCTCATTATTTCCTTTGCGTTTCATAAGTCTGCTCAGTGCCCTCCTCCATGTTCTCTGATATGCAACCACTTCAATCAGTGAAATAAGAAGGGGGAATCGATTAATCTGTTTGGCCTCTTGGGAGTTCTGATGTTTTCCATTCATCTTTTCATCTTTCGCCTCGCCAGTCACCACGAAGTTCGAATAAAGCAGATGCTTCATGCTGAGGCTCTATCCCATATCGAAGACTACCAGCAAGGCGCACGAGCTTGGTTCAATAAATAAGAGCCAGATGGCTTCGTTGCAACATACTTACCTGGACGGGGTCAATGGGTGACCAAGAAGGCCCATGGCCTAGGTATGCGGCCTCCATTGCACTGCGGAGGGGCGCATGCCTAAGGTCTCCCCAAGTGGGAGAGCCTACGTCATAATTTGTGGTAGAGGGGGCCTGCGTTCGCGCGGCCCCTGCCCAATTTAAGTTAAAAGCTTCGTTTGTTGGCTATTTAAGTAAGTGTGGCCAGTCGTACTCGATGGTGGTAGCTGGACAAAATATATTTAGTAGTGGATGTTGGAGTGTGCATTACTAAAATTATGGATCTTTTACTCGTTATTTGATGTAAGTTATTAAATTTAGATTTAATATCAAATCAAAAAACTAAATTAAAAATTTTTATATATATTTTAAATATGTACTTAAAATTATTTAAATATATTAAAAAAATAATAAACACTCAAATTTAAAGAATTTATAGTTTTATATTTTATTTAATAAAATTCCATTCAAACAGATATCTCCTCTATTGAAAATTTTCTGATTCTTAAATTTCCAACCTGTTTCATCTTAGAATCGAAACAAGAAGGTTGACGCTAGAGAAAATTTAGTTCAATGAATCAACAAGCTGAGCTGTTTCCACCTTGTTCCTCTGAGAACAGAAAATTGATGCTTAGGGAATTTTTGTTCAATAATCCAATCAACAATCTGAGCTGTTTTGAAGAGAAAGTTTCCAGTGGAAACATACGATTTTATTTAATCTCCAACAATTTATAAAACTACATCCATTTTTTTTGTTTAATTTAACAACAAACAGAAAGGCTTCAGTACCATGTCCAAACAACATTGTCCCTTAATCCATCTATAGACTAGAATAAAGCAAAGCCAGCTTATTATTTGAGCTTTCACCCAAGTAGAAAACATAAACCATACATTACAAAGGTTGACATGCTGCTTGACAACTAAGTTCTCCTCTCCATATTTCAAACCTAATAATCATGACATTTTGAGCCTAGGATGGTTCATCTCAGGGCTCGAAAACCATATTCTCCGCTTCCCGCTTCACAGACTCAAACAGCACGGAAGAGAGATAACGCTCTCCAAAACTAGGGAAGATCGCCTGTTTATGTTCAAAATTAAGAGATTAGTATAGCTTCAACTGGCTTGGAGCGCCAGAAAAGGAAAATATTTTATCAAGTCATTCAATTGCATACGGCGCAAGTACTATCAAACATTAGTCTAGATAACCTACAAGAATGCATGTGACCTCAAATGAGAATAAATACCAACAAGAAGCATATAGAACCGAAAAACTATGCCATAATATTTACTCGATCCCCCTATAATTCATGTATATGCTGGTACTGTAAAGTCGGGGAATAAATGTGACGATAATCCTTCTCAATAATGGTATCGGTCTTTGGCTGTTTTGCCTCATTGGCATGATGAGACAGAACAATGCAGGACTGAGTTAAAAAAATAATAACATGACTTACAACAACGAGTTTCCCAGTGTTTTCTGGCCTCTTGGCTATCTTAATTGCAGCAGCAGCAGCTGCACCCGATGATATACCTACCTGTAATGCATGTCCCAAACAGTTATCACTAAAAGGAAACTGCAGAAGGAATCTGACAACAGAAACTTGAGTGCCATTCAATTCAGTTTATACACGTAAACAAGTACCAACAAGGCGACAAAAGCATGGATTCCCTTACCAAGTTATATCACTAAAACTTAAGAACTTACCAACAATCCTTCTTTCAGAGCAAGTTCCTTTGCTGTTTCAATGGCTTCTTCACTTGATATCTACATTCATACAGGTAACCAATCATTACAAGGAACAACAATAGCAATACATCCATGGGGGAAAAGCTACAACAGAAGACAGCATGCTCATGTCAAATACCACCAAATTGACTTCCCTGCATAATATATATTGGTCCTAGCGAGAGAAATAACGAAAACTGGTAATGAATTATGGCAAAGGAAAAATGAAAGTTCATTTACATGTCTACAGAAAATAGCATTTATATCCCACATTGACTGAGATATAATCTGAATAAACAAACACCATTGAGACTTACTTGAACAACTTCATCAAGCAGACTGGCATCTAAAACCCCAGGGATGAAGCCGGCACCAATTCCTTGGATCTTGTGTGGACCTTGAACATTAAAATGCAAGCGGCATTTCATCAATAAATCAAACAATCTTACAAAATCTTATTGTAGCAAGAGGAACAAAAGAAAACAATTTTCAGTTGACAATGGAAAAAATATATGATAATCTTATTACAAGATCTAAGAGACTAAAGACAATGCTAGTATGCTGTCTAGGAACAGTAAATCAATTAAACATCTTCAACCAACAGAGGGAACCTAATGCATGAAACTAAGTGGGCTATTTAATGAATGTAAGCACCACTAGTTCTTCAATGCTTAAAAAATTATTAGGCACGCATGAAAACTTAAATGGCTACATCAAACTTTAATACAAATAACCATCAGAAGTGTACAGAGCTGCTGTGAGAAGAAACATTAACCAGAGGAAAATAAGCACCACAACACAACTTCTAATAAATGGGAAAATAAATAATCAAGTTGTCATTATCACCTCCCAGATACATAGCATGGTTCCTACCTACTCAGCTAGCTGTTATAGATTGTAAAAAACAACAAAAGTGCAGAAAATATAATACTCAGTATGCAGAACAATGTGAACAAGAAACATTGTAAACGTTACAACTTACCAGGTTTCCCTCCAGAAAGCACTGCACTTTCAACTGGTTCCACGCCAATGAGCTGAACAGATAAAGGGAAAATATAAGCAACACAATAGCACAATCACAGACAAAAGCAATTTAGTAATTTAAGCCACAAATTTATTCTGTCTAATTAGGCATCAGAAAGTCTAACCTTAATGTCAGGATTCTGCTCTCTGAGATACTTCCCTGCTCCTGTTACAGTACCTCCAGTCCCAATACCAGAGACAAGGATATCGACCTTCCCTCCAGTGCCTTTCCATATCTCCGGTCCAGTTGTCTCATAATGGACCTAAAACAGGAAAGAAGAATCAGAGCATGACACCCTTCAAGGCTCCAACCACCAAAATATGCATGAAAAATGTTTCAAAATGATACCTTTGGGTTGGCAGGATTTTCAAATTGCTGAAGAATGTAAGAATTAGGAGTCTTTGCCATAATTTCTTCAGCCTTCTGAACAGCCCCCTTCATGCCCCGGGCTGGATCTGTGAGAACCAGCTCAGCTCCAAAAGCTCGGAGGACCATTCTCCTTTCTAAACTCATTGAAGAAGGCATGGTAATTATGAGTCTGTAACCCTTCGCAGCTGCCATGAATGCCAATCCTATTCCGGTATTACCACTGGTTGGCTCGATCAGGACACTCTTAAGCATATAGGAAGAAGGGAAATTATGTCAAGTTAAAACTTCTCTCCTTAAGTTCATTACTTAAAACTATAAGGCAATGTTGACATGAAATCAAACACAATCATGACAGTGGTTGGAAGACAGCTCTGCTTTTGCACATAAAAATGTAAGGAATTTGGATTTAGATTTTTGAAGGAACAAACACTAGAAGGCCTAAGAACATAAACAGATATGCTTTTGAAGTTGACAACGGTGCAAAATATCCTTGTATGGCATGGTGACATCGGTATAATCTACTCAAAACTTTGAAGAGTTACAGAAGCTGCATTTTCATTAGTGTCTTTTAGCTAGAAAGATCTCCATGACTAAAATAATCACTCTATTTCGCCAGGATGCAACAAACTTACAAACATTTACAAGCAATAAGGTCTGTCATCATGAATAACAACATAAGAATAGCAGAAGTCAATGTATAACTTTACCTGCAAAGCAGAAGTAACCTAACATTAATTTGAAAATTCCATTCCGTAAATGTCTAGGAGAGAAATGTCTGAGTACCAACCTCACCCGGTTTAATGAGACCCTTCTCCTCTGCATCTGCAATCATACTATAGCCAATCCTGAAACAAAGAAGATTTTGCAACTCAGCAAAGATTATAAACTCCAATCCTACATGTCCCAATGCAGCATAATAGCATTGATTATGATCAAATCTAGTGTGACATGTTTTCTGATACATCTTTGAATGGAGAAAACGTAGAAATTGTTTAATACCTGTCCTTGACACTGGAGCAGGGTTCCATTGCCTCCAACTTGGCAGCAATTCGAGCCACGCATCCATCAACAACATTGTTCAGATATACTAGTGGTGTTTTACCAATCAACTGCTCATGTCAAGTCCAACAAGATCAACAAGGATGGCAATAGTTTTCTTAAATTAAACACAAACAAATTCCTATAATTTTGTTAATGAAGATGAACAACAGCTTACTTCAGTGACATCTTTGGCAATTAAACTCTTCTCCTCCATTTCTTCTCAAGTTACTGCACATGCATTCCAAAGCTGACTTATTTAGCAAACAAGCTAAACAAAATGAACATTGATTAAGTAGTCATAATTAAAAAAAAAAAAAGAACATTTTGAGCCTACAGAACAAATTCCCAATAATTTAAAAGAAATAGCAATTAGTGACACTTCAAAAATTTTACCCTTTAGCAAAATTTTTGGATTAATCTACAATTGAGGTACAAAATAGACTCTTTATGAAAGAGAAAATAGTTCCTAAAGTGTTAAGACACTAAAGGGACTAGAAATGACCATGATCTTGATCAATCCAAAAGGAAACTCAAATCTCCTGAAAGTTTCAGTAATCAATAAAAACACCCACATACAGAAACATCAAAAATAACAAAAGTAACCAACAAAAACCATAAATCCAACCTTAAAAACACAGGCAAAAACGATAATTTCACAGATGATAAAGTACCCAAACTCCAAGCTTGCAACTTTTCCAACAAAGGCAGTATTTTTTTAACAAAATCTATAAACCAAAATGATAGATGAGCTAAAAAATGAAGACTTCAAAGACTTGACCTTGAAAGCTCCGTAGCTAAAACTCTCAAAGACAATTCCTGGGATTTTATGTTTGGGACTAATCAATATTTCCTCTTCTTAAATTGAAGAAAAAGATGCCGTCTTGACCAACTAGCTGGCAAAAATAGAATAAAATACAAATAAATATATAAAAATACAGTAATAATTGCTTTTTGCAAAACTGTATTGTCTGATTCAGAAAGTTGGTCTGCCGGCGTTTGGTGACAAGGAAACGTAAAAAACACTCGCACTTGCGAAGGAAAAAAAATATTTTTTTCCTTTAAAAAGCAAATTTGGTTTCCTTGTTTTCATTAAAAGAACCTTTCCTGTAATTTTGGGTTTTTAAAATTTTTGGATTTGTTGATATCGGCTTTTGTTTTGAACTCTTGGTCATGTGTCATTGTCTAAAAGCACATTGATTTTGCCTTTTCTAGGTTGCACAAAAGTGTTTCTCTTATTTATTTATTTATTATTTTATTATTTTTCTTCTTTCTATTTTGTTTTAAAATATTAATTTATTTTCAATCAAAAGAGAAAAACTTTGCTTTGGAATATCAGAATTGTCTTCTAAATTCCAAAGTCTACAACTTTATCATCACTTCATAATTTGTCAATATTATAACATTTTTACTATTTTTTTGTTTGACTTTAACAAAAAATAAAATTTTCATTGAAAAATCTTATTAGGCCACAGTAGCTTTTCAGTCGTGGCCTTTCTTTTAGTCTCCATTTAGAATTTATCGTAGTTTTAATATAATCCAATTAAATTTATTATATCATTAATTAAATTTAAATATTAATTATAATAAAATTAAATTAATATAAAATTTTTTAATCGTAATTATAATAATTATAATTATTATTTTTAATTTTACTGACCATATAAATGATCCTTAAACTTCATGGGATTACTTTTTTCTTTTATTTTGGTGGTCGTTTTGGTCATTTGTCATTATCATAGGATATACTAATTTTGCATTTTTTGTCTTAGTTCTTCTTTTTTTTTTGCCAGGAATTTTAGTTTTTTTTTTTTACTTTTTTTCAAAAAGAATAAAAAAAAGGAAAAAGGAAAACATAAATGGGAAGTCAAAATTAAAAATTGTGCTTTAATTTTTGTTTTTATTTTTTAATTTTTCCGACTATTTTATTTACTCCATATATTTATTTAAAATATCACTTGAACGTGTATTGTTATAATTAATATTAATATTACAGTGTATTAAAATTCATATAAAATATAAAATTTTAAAAATATTTTTATTTATATTATTTTTAAAAAATCAACTTGTAACGTCATGTCCACTTATTTTTCATTTAAAATTTAAACTAATAAAAGAAAAATTAAATTCTACATTTTAGAGCATTCGAGCATTTAATTCAATTAATTACTTTTTAATACATAATTCTCTATTTAAAGAGTAAAATCCTGGTCCCTTCCTATAATTAGAAAATATATCCTCTTTTTTATGACATCTCATAGATAAACATATTATTTACTAACAAAAAAAATTACTATATTTATGTGACTTGAGATTTAATTCAACTGATAATTTTGAAATAAGATTTGAATAAAAATTTTACACTCAGATTTAATAATGGTATGTCCAACGCAAAATTAAACCCAACTTAAGCTTTTTCAAACTTATTCACATAAAATTAAATTTATTAATTTAAAATATGATACGAATATGATATAAAAAAATTATATGATTTAAAATTTTAATAATAATTATATATGAATTTAATAAAATAAAAAAAATTATATTTTTATATCATTATAAAATTATGATATATAATTTTTATATAAAATATTATATAAATAAATAAATTTTAATTTTATACTATATAAATACACGAATTATTAAGACCAAGTCAGAATTAGACTAATATTGAGTCCTCGTAAGTCCAGCCCCAAACTGATTTATAGACAAAAATGCCCAAACGAAAAATGTTAAAATAAATATAAAATAAAACATATTTTTAATTTTTATTTTTTAAAAATATTTGTATTTAAAAAATGATAAAAAAACTATCCATTTTCATGTTCACGTTCACAAACCGGACCCAATCCATAATGAGACTTGCAAATCCCAAGTCAAGAAGCTATATATAAGTCATGATCCAACTATAATCCTTGATTTTTTAACTTATGTCAATTATAATATTTTTAAAAAAATTAAAATTTTAATTTTAATAACTTTAAGTATAATTTATGAAAAAACATTTGATACTTAAATAATTTGAAAAAGAAAATAAAAAATTGTAAAGGAATGAATCCAAAATTTTTTATATTTGAGATTATTAACTAAAAAATAAAAAATGTTAAAATAAATATAAAATAAAAACATATTTTTAAATTTATTTTTAAAATTTTTTTCTTAAAAAATGGTAAAAACTATCCATTTTTCCAATAAACATTAACTAAATAACTACTATTTTCCAAAAATAAAAAAAAAATGTGGGTATAACAAATTATAGTTTTTATATATTAAAAATATTTTTTTGAGTTATTAATAAAAATTTTAATTATACTAACTATATTAAAAAGGTGACATATGTCATTTAAGTATATTTAAAAAATATAAATCTAATTAAAAAAATGTGACAAATTTTTTAATTTTATTTCTGTAATTAAAATTTTATATTAATAATATATAATTTTTTATATGTAATTTTTAAAATAAAAGATTTTGAAAAATAAAAGAATCTAGCACTAGTATATTCTTTTCCGCCCGATTGAGGAATTCCTCGCCCCCTTAACCACCTTTTACTTGTTTCACTTGTTTCTTACCACATCAAAGGGCAGTTTAGTCTTTTCACTAAACACATTAAAAGGCCGTCGTACCGTTTTCTTACCGGCTCGCATAGATCTCAAACTTTCATTTTTCTTTTTCGTCTCGCTGAAAAAAACCCAAAACCTCCTCTTTCGTGACCCAAAACCCGCAATCTTCACCGCACCACCATGGGAGTCCCGGCGTTTTACAGGTGGTTAGCGGATCGGTACCCGCAATCAATCGCCGACGTTATTGAGGAAGAACCGAGAGAAGACGGAAACGGAAATCAAGTGCCAGTTGACGTCTCGAAACCTAACCCTAACGGCCACGAATTCGATAATCTTTATCTAGATATGAACGGGATTATTCACCCTTGTTTTCATCCCGATGGCAAGGTATATCTTTAACAGAAAGACCTTCAGAATTCCTTTTTCTTTGGAATTTTAAAAATTTTTTACTTTAATTTCAGTGAAAAGGTATTTTTAACTGTGGATTTGAAATTTTAAATTACTAGTATTCAAATTAGAAGAACTTAAATTTGCTTATGAGTTGAATTTTTAGATTGCTGTTTGGTAGTGAAAATTATGAAGACTTTGAGTTATGAAGAGTTTGGAAGTGTGCTTTTAGTTGTGTTTTAGTTTAGTAAATGTAATTGGCATTGCCTATGTTGTTTTGGAAGGAAATTATGCTCATAGGATTAAATTTTGCGGAGGATAAGGTTTTGGGTATGGTATTTTTGCAATGTGTATCAAAATACATTTTTTTAAAGCAATTTTTGGGGTAATTAAATGGTAGATTGCTTGTTATTTTTTGTATGATATGGATTGTCACATGTCCAAATGCATTAATCTTGAATGTATTTCTTTGTGTCTCAGGAAGTTGTAGTTTGTTTTCCATTCTTAGTACGGTCTTGATTGTCATGTATCAAAAACGCATTTTTCTTGAATGTGAAATTTGCATGTTATGAAGGCTAGTTGCTTTCCGTATGTTAGCACAATCTTGGTAGTTGGTGCATCAAAACTTTTTATTTGCTGCCTTTCATGAAGTGGTATATTGCTATACATTTTTAGCACCTTGATCTTTCACTGGATATCATCCAGCAGTAACGGGTTATTCATTGTGCATACAGCCTGCACCAGCCACTTATGATCATGTGTTCAAATCTATCTTTGACTATATTGACCACCTTTTCTCATTGGTTCGTCCTAGAAAGCTTCTGTATATGGCAATTGGTATGATTTATTCCATGTTTTGTCAATTTTCTTTCTTATTATAGTTTTTCATTAATTCAATCTTGTTTATTTAAAAAATTTGTAGATGGTGTTGCTCCTAGAGCTAAAATGAATCAGCAACGTACTCGACGTTTTAGAGCTGCAAAAGATGCTGCCGAGGCTGTAAGTCTTTGCATTATTTAGTGGATCCTAATTATCTGATTTAGTTGATTTATGTTTTTGTTGTTTATGTTGTGTTAGGAAGCTGAAGAGGAGAGATTGAGGAAAGAGTTCGAGGCTGAAGGGAAGGCATTGTCCCCCAAGGAAAAACCTGAAACATGTGACTCAAATGTTATAACTCCTGGCACTCCATTTATGGCTGTGTTGTCTGTAGCCCTTCAGTATTATATACAATCTAGGTTGAATCACAATCCTGGCTGGCAGAATACAAAGGTGTGAAGGACATGATCATTTTCTGGCTTCAAAGATTGGATGATTCCTTGGAAAATGGAGTAATCCTTTCTATTTAATTTTCCTGTATACTTATGGCTTTCGGTATACACTTTGTCTCTCTAAATTTATTTATTGGGGTGCATTGGGTGATTATTTGAAGGTTATTCTTTCTGATGCGAATGTTCCCGGTGAGGGAGAACACAAGATTATGTCATATATTCGGTTACAACGTAACCTTCCTGGCTTCAACCCAAACGCACGACACTGTCTGTATGGCCTGGTGAGAGTGCATTCAAAAACTAGCCGCCCCTCTCACTATTCCTGATTCTTTTATGGCTTTTTCCTAGATATTTTGATTGTAATGCTAATTTAGGCATTTGTTTTGTCATAATCAGGATGCAGATTTGATCATGTTGTCCTTAGCTACACATGAGATTCACTTTTCAATTTTAAGAGAGGTCCGTGCCTTATTTGCTCATTTGCATTCTCGGTTTAAAACAATTTATTGATAAAGTAATTCATCTACCTTTGCTGTACAGGTGATCACTCTTCCTGGACAACAGGAAAAATGTTTTCTTTGTGGTCAAGTTGGTCATCTGGCAGCAGAGTGTACTGGTAGGCCAGATAATGGGAACAAAGAATGGAATGCTGTGGATGATACACCAATTCACAAGAAGAAATATCAGGTTTAATAGTTAACCCTCTCTATTAAAGCGATACAAATACAATTTACCTTTCTTTTTTTTTTGTTGTTGTTTTTGTTTGGCTTATGCTGTATTGATTTTTAGTAATTGCATGGACAGTTTCTTAACATATGGGTGTTGCGAGAATATTTGCAATATGATTTGGAGATCCCCAATCCTCCATTTGAGATAAACTTTGAGCGAATAGTGGATGATTTTGTTTTCTTATGTTTCTTTGTGGGCAATGACTTCCTTCCGCATATGCCAACATTAGAAATTAGGGAGGTATGCAGTTACCATAGTTTCACTTCCTGTTTTTTTCTTTATTCCATATCATTGTTTTTAGTATGAATGTTTCGCTGTTTCAGGGTGCTATAAATCTTCTGATGCAAGTTTATAAAAGGGAATTTGCTGCTATGGGTGGTTATCTTACTGATGCGGGTGAGGTAATTTTTCCTTTTTTTCTATGTATCTATAAAGTCTTTGTCAGAAAGTTCACTATAAACTAAAATAGATTAAAATGCGTCCATGGAATGTCAAGTTATCAACTGTAGTTTTATTTCCTTATTGTAAAGATCATTTTGGGTAGAGAACTTACTGTTCTTTGACATGAAGCATTTGTGGATTAAAAGGAGAATAATAATTTCCATTTTTTCATGTCTAACATCAAAATTGTTGCTTATCTCATCACAAGGGGGGAACAGATTTCATCTTCAGTCCAAGTCAAATTGATCTTTATGATGAGTTTCCTGTCTTTTCATTTCATTTGTTTTTTTGTTGGGGTGGGTGGGTGCGTTGGTTTGCATGGATACACTGTATACATTCATAGAATCAGTACTTCCTCCCTTAATCATTGAACATTTCAAGATTCACAAATCTTGAGCAAATTTACTTTTTTCTCCTCTTTCCAAAATCATTCCCGTAACTAATTAATAGCTAGATACTGTTACCACAAGAGATTGTTTACTGAAGTGCTGTAGAACAAATTTAAACAATTAACATAGCTTTTTAATTAATGGGTGCATATTTTTGCGACATTCAAGAAACAAAAGGATAAAGTATGGGCTGATTTTTTAGAGTGGTACCTCTATGTAAATCATGTAATTCATTTTTCTGATAGAATGTGATGTGTTCTTGTTGTTACTTTTAGTTTCTTTCTTGAAGTTAGAATTTAGAACTGTTGTTTCTCATGGTTGCTAATATCATTTTTTTTTTTAAGTACAGGTTTTTTTAGATAGAGTGGAGTGTTTTATTCAATCTGTTTCTGTTTATGAAGATCAAATCTTTCAGAAGAGGACTCGTATACAGCTGGTGAGTTGTATCTCCTGTGCTTTGATACATTATTTGCACCTGCTATACAGTTGAAAGCCACGACATGAAATTTGTATGTTTCTATTAAATTTGGATTTATGTATTATTGTTTGATCATTCATGTGATGCTGTATAAGTTTGGTGTTTTCAGTAACATCTTTTAAAACAGGACTGCTTTTCTCATGAAGCAATGTGCTACAGGTTTTAGATGCTCTAAAATTACAAGTACTTTCTTCTCTATTTTTTATTATTAATGAAGTAGGCTTTGCTGGAAAAATAATTGCTCACTGAAAAGGAGGGGAATTGTCTTGGCCAAAATTTGAGTAATCTATTCTACCCTCCAAGCAACTAAAAACATTTGAAATATGTGTAAATGTTTAAACTTGAGTGGAACCAACAAATAGCAACACATCTGATATCTGGAAACAGTGATTTATGAAAAGATTCTTGTAAAAGTGCAAAGGGCATCTCTTGAAGGCAAGGAGAAATATATCCTTCAAGGCTTAATAATTTTTAAATTCTGAAGTTCAATTAATTTAGCTTTTTATGAAAACTGTTTTAGTTAGATCTTTTAATTGTCTTACTGTTAGATTGCATAGATGGGTCTGTGCAACATGGGAGCTTAAGTTTTGGGCTTTTGGCTTTCTTTCCGTTTGTTATTGGTGGTTTATTATGCATATTTTCTTTTAGTTCTTTTATTTCTTATGAAGTTCTCATATTGCCCTTAAGTTTTCTTACTTATGTTGGTGAATGACTGATATTCAGGCATATGAGAATAATGAGCAGATGAAGCTTAAAGCAAGAGGAGAGTCCTCTGAGGAGGCACAGGCACCCATCATAGATAAGGTCTGTGTTTAAATTGATTTCGTTTTAAATTACAGATCTGAGTTAAAGTAAAATGGGAGGTTTAATGTGTCTAAAGATCAAATTGCTTGGATTTTAAAACCAAATGAGAATTAAGTCAATTACTAATGCCATGGTTGGAAACCTGTTAAACCATCTTACACACTTAAAGCTCAAAGTGATCTGAATTATGTGATAAGCACGGTTCTGTTGCTAAACTCAGAAATCTTTTGGTTATAAGAAGTTATCCTCCTTAAGTTATGTTATTAGTTTAATGCCGTTTAACTTGCAGAGAATTTTGTTGAATAAGAAGTTATCTGTACACTTTTCTTGACATCCATTTGAACTGAGAGCTTAACCTGTCCCACTATTAGTTTTATAACCCATAAAATAGAGAAGTGAAGAGGAAAAGTTGTAGTAAGAAGAATCTCATGCAAGCCGTAGATGTAATTTTTGAGCAATTAGAAGTGTAGCTGTTTTTGGTGATGAACTTCTTGTACCATAATTATTCTACTTTTGTTCCGTTTCCAGATTAAATTAGGGGAACCAGGATACAAAGAAAGATATTATGCTGAGAAATTTGATGTATCAAATCCTGGGGAGATTGAAGAAGTTAAAAGAGATGTTGTAAGTTTAAACATTCTATTGTATGATAAGTTTTCTGCTACAATATCCTGTGCATATGATTTCCTGTTAAAACATATGCAACTGTTTTCTCTACTCCTTGCAGGTTTTGAAGTATGTTGAAGGTTTATGCTGGGTAGGTCGCTATTACTACCAAGGTGTTTGCTCTTGGCAATGGTTAGTTTAATGTGGACGGAGGCAGAAAATGTTATGTTTACTTTTACTCGCTATTTTTCATTTGATAAACCAAATGGACTAAAGACTAAATACCAAGTATAAGCATACCTATATGCTTTGGAAATGACTTATGAGTCCTTTCGCCTCCATATACTTTCTTATGCTATGTTTGCCCTTTAGTAAGTTTTATGGAGCTAGTTGAGGAATATCAGAAAGAGCCAGAGTTACCTACTTAGAAATTCACTTTCCGCTCTTTGCTATTGTCTTTGTAAACATTGGAGGGACTTTCAAGTTTTTAGGTTTGAACCATGGGAATGGGGAGTAGGGTTTATGGTGTCTGATACTCCTGTTCTGTAGCTCAAACTGCAGTGGGCTTCTGCAGTATATACGTCTATATGTATGTACATAATATGTGGTTTTGGACTTAAGACTGTCTGGTATGACTTAGCTAATGGTTCAAAATATGGTACATGTCTTACAGTATGGCTTTTTTCAATTTCTTTTAGTTAGTTTAAAGTTGTGTCTCCACTGTTTCTTTCAGGTTTTATCCATATCATTATGCTCCATTTGCTTCAGATCTAAAGGATCTATCTGATTTGGAAATAACATTTTTCAAGGGAGAGCCATTTAAACCCTTTGAACAGCTCATGGGAACACTGCCAGCTGCCAGGTTTTTTCTTTTATTTTCTTGTATATATATAGCTGCTAAGCCTTGAGCATCTTACTTCAAACATTTTTTTCTCTGTTATAGTTTACAGTTGCCTGTGCTAATAGTAATTTATCTCTATCATGTTATAGTTCTAAAGCTTTGCCAGAAGAATACGGGAAACTGATGGCTGATCCATCATCACCTATTTATAATTTCTATCCCTCTGGTAAAAATCGGTCAACTCTTGATTTGATCGTCTGTTTATGTTGTGCGATTCCTTCCCTTTTGAAAATTACATATATTTTTTGTGACAGATTTTGAGATTGACATGCATGGTAAACGCTTTGCATGGCAGGTATATTCTTATATACCAAGTGAACTTATTTATTTATTTTATCCATTTCAACAAAAACTATGGACACTTACCTCATTTTTTTTAAACCCAGGGTGTTGTCAAATTGCCATTCATCGATGAGAAGAAGTTACTTGCTGCAACAAGAAAGCTTGAAGTTACTTTAACGGTCTGAATTGTTGTTTTAGACTAGCACACATAATTGCTAAATGATGCATGCAAATATCTTGCAGTCTTCTTTCATGCACTAGCTATTTATTAAAATGCCTTTAGTTGATCCATTCTGCTAATCCTTAAGATAATATTTGCAGGACGAAGAGAAGTTTCGAAACAGCGTGATGCTTGATCTGCTATATGTTCATCCTCTTCATCCTTTGGCATCTCAAGTTATTTATTATTATCAAATTTGCTCTCATTTACCGCCTCATGAAAGATTTTTATTGCCCATTGACACAAATGCTAGGTTGGTTAATTTCACTGTTCATAATTAATTGAGCATTCACATTTCAAGAAATTTGACTGAACATCTGTTGGTTTTACCATCCTCATCTGTTGTCTTTCACAGTGGTGGAATGAATGGATTTCTTGGGTTATCTGAAAGGAATGGTTGGCAAGATGTAGTCTCTTCCCCTGTTAAGGGGTTGCCACATATAGAACTTAACAAAGTTTTGTAAGTCGTCCATGGTTTTATTGCCATTTTTGTCTTGAGAATCCTATAATCCTATTGATCCTAGTAACTCATTTCGTGCCTTTTCTCTTTGCAGGAATGTTACATATCATAATCCTTCACGTCATAAACACATTCCAGAACTTCCACAAGGTGTTGTGATCCCCAAAAAGGTATATAATTCCTGACATAGGTGTTGGTTTTAATTTTATGAGGTACGATTAGGGAACTCAAGGATTCATGAGATTATATTGCTCTCTTGGGAAGCATTGTGGGTCCATTATCAGAGTTTACGTTTAAACACATACATTATGTTCTTGCAGGTTCTAACACCTCTTGATGTTAAACCTTTTCCTGTACTGTGGCATGAAGACAATGGTGGCCGGCGCCAGCAAGGCAGAGATCGGTGAGAATGCATTATCTTGTAGCTCTGTTTACCATATTTTTATCATCCCTACTTGGAAGCTAGGGTAGGATGCTCCTCAACTTGGTATTTAGTAAAGGCATGACTGAAATTTTGTGCTAATATCTGGGCCAACTTGGTATTTAGTAATGCATGACTATGTGAAATGTTGTGCTAATATCTGAGCCGTTGCGAAAAGAAATGGGTAATGAAAAACGGGTAAATGTTGCCATCATTGAGTTCAGTGTCTTTGCTGGTTAGAATGTCCTCGTAATTTATTCAAGTGCCTTCAAAATGTCCTCTTAATAATTTTTAAGATATTCATAGTTGAATTTGTTTGACAGGGCACAAGTACCAGGAGCTATTGTTGGCCCTCAGCTTGGTGAGGCAGCTCATCGTCTCGTCAAGAATACTCTTAATATCAAATCAAATGGCTCATCCTCTGGGTTGTTGGAGCAACCATCACTTTTTAATATCTCAAGCAACTACACAAGCATTAGACCAAGACCTGCAGGACCATCAGGTTATGAAAGGGGCTTTTTCGATGACCCAAATCATTATTATATCAATCGACCACGTGCAGCTGGAGCCTCAGTTTATGAAAGGGGATATGGTGATGGCCCAAATTATTATGGACGATACAATCATCCACAAATGGGTAACCCAAGACATCCCTCATCAAATGGTATGCAAGTCAGAAACAACTTCTCATCAAATGGTATGCAAGTCAGAAACAACTTCAGGGCACAGGATAGGCTACAGGATCAGGAACATTATCATGATTTGAGGACTGGAATGTCTGCTTTGACATCTGAGGGAAGTACCAGAGGTAGAGCACATGCGGAGGTGTCTCTAAGGATGCCAAATTCTGGATACTCACAAAATTTAGACCAGCGGTCGGAGCAGAACACTGGTGCTCTTCCCACACCACCCAATAAGTGGATCATTAAGCCAGTGAATGTAAATACTGGAACTTTCTTAAGACAAGAAAATGCATCAAGTGGAGCTTACGAGAAGCAGGTGAAGAAGGTTTATCAGATCAAGACTCGTCCACAGGAAATGATTGGTCCTGTAAACCATCAGTGATCACGATTTCAGATGGACTCGCCCTTTTTTTGACACAGGCATGTCCATTCAACAATTGAAAGTTTTTATTAGGTAATATTTTTCTGTAGTTCTTTTAACTTTGATACAGTCACATGCTACCACCTGATCTGTCAGCAGGGAAATTAACCACAAAAATCTGTTTGAATATTCCAATGTCGTCATCACCTGTCAATTTCATTACGATTTTGTAAATGAACTTGTCAGCCCTAATGTTCATTTATAAAATCAAATCGGAATTGATAAGTGCTGGGACATTGCAACGTTTGAATGGCTTGAGTAAGTAATCTTAGAATTGAAAGATTAAGTGTAGTCTGTAGTTGCGTCAGAGTTTAAGAATCATGTACCTCTCTGTTTACTATAAACCATAGGTTTCTTGGAACACTGTAGTTTTTCGAGACAACCATCTCACCACCAAAGCTAGGACTGGGAAGTATAGTTGGATCATAGTTGAATTAATCTACTTAAGCCTTTTCCTTTTTATATGTACAAGCTGTACTATAGCCATCATGATTGTAGATTGTTGGTTTAGGGTGATAGGAATTGCAACCTTTGTTGTTTTCTAAATTTACAGTTTCGCATGGGCTGGAATCAGCAGACCAGAGAAAATGTAATTGGTTTATTCTTCATTTCAAGGCTACTCTTTTGCCTACTTTCTACTGCAAGAACCACCTGGATTGATATGCTTTAATTTTTTAAGATTTTTAAAAATGTAGTTGAACTTGTTCAGGAATAAAGTGATTGTATTAAATTATTCAGAGTTGGATTTTCTTTGCATTAACTTTATGGTTCTGTTTATGCACTTGTTATTAAGTTAAAGTTTGTTCTCTTACTGGAATTCCAATCAATTCTGAAAGTAACAGAATGGAATTGTGGAGACCTTCCTTTTTCACACATTCAGCTATGATTCTTAATAGATACTGTTAAGTGAGAAAGATCGTGAGAGAAACCATAAATTGAAAAGGAAAGAATCTTTCATTTAAAGATGACAGGAAAAGCCAAGAAACAAAAATGAAACAGAAAGGATGAAAATAAAATTATTTTGGCAGATGGATTGAATTTTATATTTGCAAAATACCACACAAAGTGTACTTTTAATTTATGCTACAAAGATATCGATTGTCTAACAAAGAAAAATTACAGAGAAACTCCATTTCTGATCCTATTGCAAAAAGTAACCACTCAAGAAGAGCACAAAAAAGAAGAACAAGCTTCCATATATCAATAAAGCTTTTTGTCCAGAAGTAAGAGAATTCCCTCCTAATCCAAACTGCTGATTCTGTGCAAAACCTGCAATTTCCACACTCTTACTCTCAAAGAAACTCTTTGCAGCCCCACAAGTAGGGCATCTCCAATCATCAGGCAACTTGTCAAACTGAAACCCTGGTGGTATTGGATATGAAGGATCACCCACTGCTTCATCATACTTGTAACCACATGACCTGCACTCATAGATTCCTGTGTTCAACACTGCAAACTTCTCTTCTAACCTGCGTTTGTCAAATTTTTCTTCTTTAGCAGTAGTTTCTTTGGGTGCTGGTGGTGGTGGTGGTGGTGGTGGAGGAGGAAATTGGTTTTCTTGGTCTGAAACAGGCATGCCTTGACTGTCTTCTTTTGAGACATCGATGGAATGGATGGTGAAATGCAGTTGCTTTTTGTGGTGTTTGATGTTGAGTGAAATTGTGGGGAGTTTAGGGGAGATAAGGAGATGGGGTTTTTGTGGTTTCAGAGAAGGTTGGGTTAAGTGGTGGAAAGGGAAGGTAAGTCTTGTTGTTGCAGAAGCCATTTCAATGGAGTTTTTTTCTTTTGTTTTTCTGGGTTAATTGATTTTTTGGTACGGGTGGAGGAGAAATGAAAGGGAACCATGGAAGGGAATATGCCCTTGCTTGAAAAGGAGTTGGATAAGGTGGGGGAAGTGTCTACCGGTAGAATGTAGATTCTTGTGATGGGCTGCTTTTTTGTTTGACTTGGTAGGCCCTATTTTCAGTTGGGTCGGCCGGTCCAAATGCCCTTCTCAATTTTATTTAGTAAATAATGACTTCTGTTGTTCTCATTCTTTTTACAACCAAAATATGCTAAAATCTCGACTTTATGAGATCATTTAATTAATAGTTTGTTCAGTTCTATCCCAAGTAATAAAGATATTTACAATTTTCTTGAAAAAATTTTAATTAATGAAAAAGTTAATATTGCTCAAACGAGTCCAAATTTCCCTAAGCTTTGATAATAAGACTCCTTGCTCCTAACAAAATTAAGATTAGAAATTCCCAAATGCAAGAACATATGTTCCATTAAGAATCTATATCATAAAATAACACTATGCGATGAAAATTCCTTTCATCATGTTGTCCAATTGTCAAAAGATCCTTAAAACTCCAAACTCATTCACAACCCGCTGACCATTTCTTTTTCTTTAATCCTTTTCCTTTGCTTTCCTTTTATGTATCTTTTCTGTACAAATATTTCTATTTGTATCCCAACTCTTTTTAATATACTCTACTAATTATATTACAAATTTAACATTTAATAAAATTACTTAAATATCTATTATTTAATTATTTTTGTCTTTCACATATTTAAAAAAAATTCATTTTAGAAAATTTTTAGGGGTGTTTGGTTAGAAGGAATGCACACATTTTTTTTAGAATCTTATAATTGAGTATTTGATTCAAACATTTAATTCAAAGTAATTTGATTTCGAGAAAAACTAACAGATTTTTAATAATACCTAAAGTATCGGAATAAAAAATTAATATCTCTTTATGATATTTTAAGATTTTAAGGAGAAAAATAATGTTATTTTTAAATTTGACCCGACTAAAAAATTATGAAATAGTTATTACTATTTTGAAAAACATATTTGAATATGAATGCAAGTCAGTTGTAGGTTTTTATTGGTAAAAAATTTTGTTTATATATGACGTTTAGCATGAAAAATGCATTCAATAATCTCTTACAAAAATTTTATAATGAGATTATTGAAAGTATTTTTTGTCAGAAACACTTTGAATAACCTCAATTTAATTTTTTTGTAATGAATTATTTAAGGCGTTTTTTATCAAAAAACATATTAAATAATTCCCTGCCAGTTTTTTTGAGATTATTTATTTTTGATAAGAAACACATTGAATAATCATTTACAAAAAATTAAATGAGGTTATTCAAAGTGTTTATGACCAAAAACGTTTTCAATAATCCCTTATAAAAATTTAAATGAGATTATTCAAGATATTTTTTGTTAAAAGCGCTTTTAATAATCCCTTTTAATTTTATGAAAGAAATTATTGAAAGTGTTTTTAATAAAAAATGCTTTAAATAATACCATTTAATTTTTTGTAAGAGATTATTCAAGATATTTTTTGATAAAAAATGTTTTAAATAATCCCAAAAAAAAAGGAAGAGATTATTGAAAAAATTTATAGTATAAAACGACTTGAATAATCTCCTCCAAAAAATTAGAGGGGATTATTTAAAGTTTTTTTTTGTTACAAATGCCTTAAATAAATTCATTCAATTTTTTGTAAAAATTCTTCAAGACGTTTTTTGATCAAAAATGTCTTGAATAATCTCCTTGAATTAAAAATTGAATTAGTTAAATTATCATCATATATATCAAAGAGATTATAATAATTATTCAAGATTTAATATATGTATATTTTTTTAACCAAACGAATGAATCTCAATACATGATATCCTAAAAATGAAACAAATCTCAGATATTGCATATTCTCAATTTTAGGATTTTTGTTTGAGAAAAAAATAAAAGAGATAAGGAATACGAGAAATGGAGATAAATTGTTTGAGTTTTTTGATAAATTTATTTTATGATTATGGGATGTGTTAAATGCAAAATTAAGCGTTAAAAATAAAAGGGTATGCTAAGTAATTGTTGAGATGTATATGGCAACACTCTTTCTGTTTTACTTGTTTACTAGGTCGAAGAGAAAGCGTATAAAAAACATTCTCTATCTTTTCCCCTTTTCCTTGTCTCAACGCTCCATCCAATATAATAAACACCGAAAAGAGAAAAGGTGAAACGGAAAAGACAATAAAACCAGCCAAAAATAGGTTCTTTTTTGTTACCTTTTTTTTTTTTCGCCTCACAATGTTATAGTATACTCTTAAGCCACCACACTCGTACTCAAACATAATTGTAAAATCTGACAAAAAATTACACTTAATAAAATGTACCCTTTTAAGTTTGATTATCACTCGTTAACATCAGCCAAAACTTGGGTCTAGTTTAATATTTCAGTTGAAAGTAACTTTTATATTCAAAAACTGCTTTTAATCCAACAGCAATATTAAAAAAAAAAAAGAAAGACTTCAGTTTAAAAGTTTTGTTTTGTAATCTAAACCAAAAGGCTACTCAAGATGTATTTTTTTTATGAAAAAAATAATTTTGAGATAGAAAATCATTATATTACCTTATATTTTCAATATTTTATTACTTTATACATATTTTTTTTACATTTCAATTACTCACCTTTTTAAAAGTAATACTAAACACTTAAAATTTTTAACTATACTTTTCTTACCATACTTTTTAAACTCATATTTTTCTAACTTAAAATTTTTTCAACCGTAACATAAATGCTAAACTAACCCTAAATCTACTACCAGAGAAGGCCATAACAACTACTACTGCCAACCAGGCTACCATCAGATACACGCATCCTTGAAACATTAACTGGCATGGAAACAAAATGAAAACAAATGCAGTGAAATAATAAAGTACTGCATCTTAGAGATTCAACTATCAACATTAATGATATTGAAACAGTTTCAGCTAGAAAATTATGAAATCCGGGAAACATATCAATGTAAATTACTATAGTTGCATGTTTAATAGGAAATGGGTTAGAGGTCCTGAATGAAACAAGTTTCCCAAGTAGACACATAGGAGGGAATTGTTAATGCAAATAACTATTTGCAAAAAATATTAAATGCAGGGCATACTCTTCAGAGCTGTTGCAGGACCATAGCCTTTCTAAGGTCCCCGATGACAACTATCTAAATTCAAAAATCACAATCACAAATGGAAAGTTTGATCTCTCAGGCCAGCAAGCATTGCATGCTCTGTGCATTAAACAGCCTATGATCTCAGCAACAAGTCCAAATATGACTACATTTCACAAGGCAACATTACAGTCTCTTTATCAACCCTCAAAACTAGTTTACAAGAAATGATGGAATATAGAAAGCATAAGAAATGATGCCAAGCAATCAGAAAGCATTCTCATGGGAAGCAATTCATTATAGAAAATTGGTTTTAATGCTACCAAGAATTGACAGGCAAGAATGAAGGGAAAACACCCGCAAACCTTTTTCCCTACATCCCAGAAGTTTCCAACTTACCAACATATCAAAACAAGTGACTTAAATCAGAGTTTCAATTAAAATATAACTTTTTATACAACACTGTAGTAAAATGGCAAACTGTTGAACACATTCCGCAAATGCTACAGCATCAGAGCTTGCACAATTGCATTAAATTAATGATAACATCTGTTTTTTATTCTAAGCAAGTCATCCTATAAAAACCATATATACACAAATGAGAATAACTTGAACAAACTATTGATTGAGAGACTAAATAATTAGAAATCATTATGCAAATAACTGTTCATTTCTATCAAATGAAAAAAACCCAAAAAGGAACTCAAAAACCAGTTACTCCCCTACACTATCAGCTATCCATCAATAACTAAGTAATCTTCCATGGAAATAAGCACCCAACCCATATTCCAAGCTCACCCTCCAATCGACCGAAGCTCCTCCAAAGCAGCCTTAATCTGATCCTGCACCAACTCCAAACGCTTTGAATAAACCTCCAACTCCAATATCTGCTGCTTCCTCCACCTCTCATCCATCAACTCCCCATTACCCCCACCAGTACCCAAATTCAAACTTCCTCCAAAACTCAATGGCATAGCATTCATAGCCAATCCGCTAATCCCTCTTCCTCCATATCCCCCTCCCATTACACTACCTAACAACTCCTTAAACAAAGGAGTCAAACAACTCTTCACCTTCTCCTCTATTACCACCGTCACGTTCCCTCCTCCACCTCCTCCTCCTCCTCCCACCCCACTACCACCAACAGCAATTCCCTCCACGTTACCATTATCATTATAATTATTGTTACTAATCACAAATCCATCATTTGAAACTCTTTTCTCCTCCATTTTCCCTCCTTTAGTTCTTGACCTTTTCTTCGTGGCTGCGGATTTCGGAGTAGAATTCTTTTTCTCTCCACTTTCATCAATTAAATTGATATTATTATTATTATTATTATCATCATCATCTAAAACATTATCTTCTACTTTACCAAAGCTATTACTCCAGATCTTTCTAGAAATTTCAAAAGTAGCTTGATCATGAGGGCTTTTGAAGGAAAAATCTTTACCTGAACTGATCTTATTCATCACGTTCCTATATTTCTTCTTCAATCTTCGAAGCTTCTCGACTAATTGATTCTTGTTGAAATCCAGCTGGAGTTTCGATTTGATTTGATCGTAGAACAACGCCGTGTCGTGATGATAATGGTGAGAAGATGAAGAATTTGAGTTCGTTTTCGAAGTTGTGTAATCGAGAAACCCTTGGAGAAGCTCGATCTCGTCTTCGTCAGTCCATAACCGTTGAAATAACCGCCGTGATTCATCGAATTGTTGCGGCGGAGGAGGTTTTTTCTCCGCTACAGCGGAATCAAGGCGTTGACGTTTGGTATCAAGCGGCGATTCGTCGGTCGGAACGGCAGCGATGGTTACGGCGGTGGCAGAGGGGACGGCAAGAGGAACAGAGGGGATTGAGACGGAGGAAACGGCGGTAGCGATCGGTTGAGGGAGGAAAGAAGGAGAATTAATGTCTTCATCTTCTTCCAACAATTCTTCGTCTTCTTCGTCGTTTAAAGCATCGTCGTTACCGTTGAGGACGTCGTCGTTTTCGTCGAGGTCGTTGTCAGAGGAAGAGGGTTCCTCGTCGTCGTCCGGAGATTCCTCAAAAACGACGTCGTACTGTTCCGAAGCCATGAAGAAAAAGAGAGAAAAAAAAGAAACGAAAGAGGCTCACGATGATTCGTCGATTACAAAAGCTTGTTGTAGTCGGTGAAGGGAAAGAAGGGAGAGAGGTTAGTTTTGGTTAGAGGTGGGCCGCGTGGGGATGAGAGAGAAGAGACAGAGACAACAGGTGAAGGCGCTTGTTAAGCGCGTGTACGGACGATAAAATGAAAATTTTTTTTTATGGAAATATCTAATCAAATTAATTTCATTTATTTCTTTTTTTTTTTATATGGTATCACGTTTCTCAGATTTTCTAAAATGGGAATAAGTTTATCCTAGTTTTTCTAACATGAATATTAGAGAAATTATTTGCTGTATAAACGAAGTTAAGGTAATGATATATTTTTATTTTTTAATTTTTTTAAAAATATATTACAATATATATATGTTATTATCTTAATTTTTGTTTATAAAATAAAAAAACTCTATATTTAATAAATTTTTATAATTTTATTTCTTAAAATTATGTTTTTTTAATATCTAAAATTTTTTAGAGCTCATTATTTATAATTTTTTTACAATAATACTATAAATTTTTTAATCATAATAAAAATTTACGTAAAATTCTACTTACTATAAATATAAAATTCACATAAAATTTTATTAAATTTTATATAATTTAAATTATAATTAATTAATTGTATTACAATCACATAAGTGAAATGTTTTCAAAATTTTTATTTTTATATTTAAAATTTTTTTTAATTTTTGATATTAAAAATTTTAAAATTTTAATTTTATAAAAAAATTTAAAATTTAATATTAAATATATTAAAATATTTTTTAAAATTCATAAAAATCAAATAATTTGAGTTAGAAGAGCATAATTTTTCGTTTTTAACGGAATCTTTATTTTTCACATATATTAGGAAAAATTAATATTTAAAACAAGATAAACAAATTTACAAAAAAAAACAAAAAAAAAGATTATAAAAATTCTTATATATATATAAAAAAAAAAGCATGAATCTTTGACTTAATTTCATAGACATAATAAAAAATTCAAGCTTATGATTGGCCGGTGATTGTTAAAAAGAAAAAGACAGATTATTTTACTGAAAAAATCCAAACAAAAAACCTAACAAATAGACAACGTGACGTGGACATGAGATTGCCTAAATTCTTACGGGGCAAAATGCAAATGGCTCGAACACTTAAGGATGACGTGGCACGATCCCTCTCTATATATTCGTACGGACACTCTCCGATCACTCTTAAGAGAAAAAATAATAATAATAATAAGAACGCTCCCTTCTCCTAAATGTTTCTACGATCTTCTGCCATTAAAATTTTTATCCCCAAATCCTGATCCATTTTCCCAATTTTTTAAAACCCTAATCGACATTAATCCAGATCTAAACCCTTGATCATCACAGATTAATCACTTTGATCTTCTCTAATCTCAGGTTAAACACTGCATTTTTATCTTTGTTTATTCTCCTTTTGTATGTGTTTTGGATTAATAAAATAAAATCACTTAAAATAATGTGTGTTTTAAATTAATTGCACGTATTAGATTTGATAATAAAAAAAATTGATTCAATAGAGCATTTTTTTTAATAAATGTTCTATGAAGTTATTTGAAAGTGATATTTATTTCTTGGGAGTCACGTAAGTGTTTAGGTTTGATCGATTATAGAAACAAAATTTTGTTGTTTTTTGTTTTATTATGGGTGATTTTAGTTAAGAATTCAGGTTTATTACGTGGAGTTTGTAGTAATTATAAATAAAAAATGTTAAATGCATAAAACGAATTAATCATTGTTTTCATTTGCTTTTTGTTGATGCTTAGATTTGGATTTTTTTGATTGAAAAAAGGTGGAAAAGAGAGAGGAAAAGGGAGGGAATGACAACTCCTATGCCACCAGGGGCACCAAGGCAAGCCCCGTCCCAGACTCACAATCCAAATTTCCCGCAAACAAACGATTCTTTATCAGATAATTTGCAGAAGTTGAATATCTATAAGCCATCTTCACTCCCCAATTCAGCCCCTACTTTTCCCCCATCTATAAGATCACCACCAACCTCCTCTAACTCATCTCCTTCACCGCCAATTTGCCGCCCTGGTGCACCACCTCCAGGGCTGGTTCCTGGACCCAGTGTGCCTCCAAATGTGGATTCGGTTAGGCCGCCAGGTGGACAGCCATTGTCTTTTGGGACTAGACCACCTCCAGGGTCTTTACCTTCTTCAATGGGTGGTGGTCTGGTCATCAGTCCACAGGGTGCAAGTGCAACCGGACTAGGTGCTCGACCAAGAGCTTTTGGTGGTTCTGTTAGAAATGGTCCACCTGTTGGGGTGCCCCCACCAATGATGGTGACAGTTAGGTCTCCTGGTCAGGCTCCTATGCAATTGGTTTCGCCATTTTCGGCACCATTGGCTGCTCCTTTTGGGACACAGACATGGGCACCTAGTCAGGTGAGCATTTTATCATGGTTTATATCTGTAAATTGGTAAGAGAATTGGAATTAAGTTCTCTTATTTAACCTTTTGCTCTGTTGGATAACTTACAAGATAGTACATAGGAAGTAGGAATTTAATATCCAAGCAATGCTGTTTGCCAAGAAGGTGTGTGTCTATGTGGCATGTTTGAAAAATATAAAATAAAAGAAATATATAGAAGTAGGCAAAATAGGACATCTGACTTTCCATTTTAAAAAAAAGATTGTTAATCTTTGTAGTTGTGATAGATTTGCGGTTCATTGGTGCAATAATACAATGTAGAAAGCACAAAGATGTAGTTGCAGTACTCTTTAGGATAGACTATTATGGTATGGAACAATTTTAAGGTTGAATGTAAAATATACCCTATGTAAAAAGCAGTTAACTTACAGAATCTTGGACAGACATGGATGTTTTTCTCCCATATTAGGGTAACACCAGAGTTAATAATTGAATTGCCAGTTAAAGTTTTGTAATTGCATAGCTGGTTATTGTGAAAGATAATGAAGTGGTACTGACATCATCTTAACATAAAAATTTGCCAACGTTGAACTTGGCTAAAAGCTCAGGAGAGGTGTTTATCAGTAGTATGCAAGGTAAGATTATAGAAATGAGCTCTTCTCAACTATCTGGTTCTTGTTATTATCATTTTGAAAGATTTATACTTTTGACTATCAATGATAGCTACTACATTGGTTACTCTTTTAACCCAAGAATTTGAGGATTTCTTCTGGTGGGAGTATTTGCTCTAAATAAAAGTGACACTTCTTTCTTTGAGCAAACTTCTTCTTTTGGTCCTCTTAATTGCTTTAGATGGCTCCACCTACAGCAGCATCTGGCGCTGTTCAACCACCTAGAATGTTTGGAATGGCACCACCACAATCAAACCAATTATTACCTGCCATTGATCAAACTGGTGCTAGTCTGGAAGACTCATGGAAGACTAATTCAAATCAAGTTCCAAGGCCCACTCCAAGTTCCTCTATAACTCTGTATGACACTTGTCAAGGCAATGGGGTCAATCTTCCTCCGGTATTGCCAAAAACACTAAGGTTTTATTATTATAATTGTACTTCTTTGATTGAGTATTTCTAGATCTTATTAGCCTCCTCCCCTCCCTCTTTTCTTTTTCTTATTCTTGTCTCTTTGATTTAAATTCTATTGATGTTGTTCTGTCATGGATAATTTGTTTCCTTGAAAAGCCTGCAACTAGTGATTACATTGTCAAAGACACTGGAAACTGCAGTCCACGCTATATGAGATGCACAATCCTTCAGGTTACAGTCAAACTTCTGATATTTGTATATTGACAAATAATTCATTCTTCTAAGATAATTTGGTAAGAATGTTGTATGCCTTTATTTTTTACACTAACTTGATCTCCTTCCTTATTTTGACAGATTCCTTGTACTGCTGACCTTTTAACAAATTGTGGCATGCAATTAGCCTTGTTGGTTCAGCCTTTGGCCCTTCCTCATCCATCTGAGGAGCCCATTCCGGTATTCATTATTTCTTCTCAAATTTTTATGTGTTATATCTGGTATTAGGTGTAACTCAGGTTTCTTTTTCGTTCATTCCTTAGAGGATTAAAGAGAAAACAATTATTTTGATTTCTATTATGAAAAGTTTCATGTAACAAATGCCATCCACAAAATTTCTGTCAGTGAACAACCAGGGACCGTTGAATTAAGTTAAAAAACTTACCCACTCTCATCAATTATTGGCCTTTTCTTGATGCAGTGAACTTTGATACATGTGTATGAGAGAGCTCATTTACCTTGTTCTCTGGAAGGACATCCTGCCTTTTAGGTTCTTTGCTGTTCATCTTTACTTTCATGTTGGCAGTTGGCTTGTTTCATGGGTGACTATCCCCACCTTTCTTGTTTTCCATGAAAGCTTTTATCCTAAATTTTTTTTTTGTAACACTAAAATCTTGCAACTAAACCCTCTTCCATCCAACAGGGGTTACTGATTCATCCATCTTTTTGAAATATGTAATGTTCTTGTAGCTAGGGAACTGATATCGTGAAAGTGAAAAATATGAGGTTTGCTCTAGAGAGAGCAATCTGTCATTGAGGTCTTTTGCTGGGAAAGAGAGCACTCAAAATACTTGCATTTTCTTTGATCAAAAAAGGTTTCAAAGAAACTTATTTCAGTTGTAGCAAAAGCTACCTTGTCGGATGCCTGAAAGAGAATGTTATTCTGCGATATGATACACCTGGGCACCAAGATGAAAAGATCCATCGCACTATTTGAAATCAACATTATATTTTTAGAAACTAAAAAAAAGAGTTTAGGACTGATAACATAAGAACAGGTTTGGATCATCTCCAACTTGTATTTGGAGAAACACCTATTAAAAACTGCATAGTTTTGAATGAATTAACAGTTGCAAACATGCGTATAGTTTTTATTAAATAAACTTTCATTATTCTAGGTTGTGGATTTTGGAGAGAATGGTCCAATTCGATGCTCTCGTTGCAAAGGCTACATCAACCCTTTCATGAAGTTCACTGATCATGGCAGGCGGTTCATTTGCAACTTTTGTGGTCAGTATTGAATGTTGCTGCAGTTTTCTTCTTTGGTGAATATTTTGTAAAATAATCTTGGGATGTATTACTTTTTAAAGTTATGCAATTTAATGTATCTTTTATTGTTATTGGCAATGGGGAGATTGCTTTTTGTAAAAAAAAAAAAGAAATGTTACATATGGGTATCAATAATGCTCTCAAAAACTTTTATTATTATATATTAGGATTATTACTTTGTCAATTCTGCTGTTTTATTCCTGCTGTGCTTGTTTTTAGTAGCTTGAGAAATGGAAGTTCACAAATTTGCTCTAACATTCCCCTATTTTATCCAGGGTTTATTGATTACACTCCCCATGAGTATCAATGCAATCTAGGTCCAGATGGTAGGCGTAGAGATGCCAATGAGAGGCCTGAGCTGTGTAGGGGAACTGTTGAATATGTTGCTACAAAGGAATATATGGTTCGTTAATTCATTAAACCTTTTGGCTTTATAGTAACAAGACTTCTGATTCCACTTTCTTTTGACAAATTTAGTTATTGTATATGTGTGGCATATCTCACCTGTTAAAGAGTAGAATAATGGATCAATTCCCTGTGGGCTTGGGTGGTCTTGAGACTAGCATCATATGGGACTTAAGAAGCACAAAAATCAGCATGGTCTTGAGACTAGCCCCTCAATATTCTTTTATGGTTTTCAAAAGCCTTTATGTTTTACTCAAGCTTTTGATTTTGCATCTAGCCTCTGCATGGTTGTGACATTTGCTGCTTAATTTGCGTTTATAATAGCATCACCTTCTTGTTTCTCATACTTTTACTCCTTTATATTTCTCTGGGGGTTCAGTTATGTAATTCTCTATTACATTATCTTAATTTTCAGATGCGAGATCCAATGCCTGCCGTGTATTTCTTTCTCATTGATGTTTCCATGAATGCAATACAGACTGGTGCAACTGCTGCAGCATGTGCTGCAATCAGCCAAGTCATTTCTGCTTTTCCTGTGAGTTTTTAGTTGTGTTTATTTATGTGACTGTATTTGTTTCCACCATATATTTAGCATTCATAAACTCACATAATGTTAGATGGACTGTGCTGTACAGTCTGAAAATTGTGGGGTTGAATCTGTGTCAACAGACACAATGGCACGGGAGTAATTTCTGCCAAGTTCAAGGGCAAAAATGTTATGTAAGAAATTCGGACAAAATTCTCTGGGTCTACTGTTTGGACCAAATGACATTTCTGAAATTAGATATAAACTTATCATTGCAGCTCCTGCAATCAAAATTTGTTTTCTGTTTCTAATCTCATTGATTGTTTGATGAATTTGGTGAGAGTAAATCACACATAGAAGGCATATGGTCCTGTACTCTAATTTTCATAGCTCATAACTTTGCATTCTTGTCTAGATGAAGTTCAACTTTCTTCATGCATGATCTGATTCTGATAACATCTTCCCAAGTTATATCTGTATTAAAGATTTAAAATATAATAGGACATAGTTAGAGTTAGTTAAAGCATTCAATGAGAGTGACAAGCTTTATCTTGTATGATAAGCACTGTTGGACTAGCTGTTATAGCTCCAAATGTTGAATAAAATACGATGAATTCTAGAAGTTACCATCTTGAATGATGAACTCTAATAATGGGAGTTATTGCCCATTATTGGCATTATTTCTAATGACTCCAGTGATGTTTTCTTTTGCTGCATTCCCGCTGCAGAATGGCAACTAGAACTGACATGGGAGTATACTGGCTGATTCCTTTTTTATATTCTTTCTCCTATCTTGATCTTTTAATTGTTACACAATCATTCTAACTGTTTATAAAGACATAGTCATGATAGGACCCTAATCTGGACAATTAACGAAGTCTGCATTTCTCGCATAAAGTCTTCCAAGGCCACTCTCTACTTAGACCATAACTTCTCTTGGATGTATGTTGGACTCTGTTATAGTTTAAACTGATACATCTATTTTGTAGCTGGTAATGTTCATAAGCTAATTTAATTATGCTCTAAATTGCAAATGCAATATAAATATTTGCTTATATTTGGATTCTTCATCATCCACTGACTTTTGTTTTGTTAGTTATTTACTAATTATAGAATCTATCCTTGTTTATTTAGTGTGAAGACTGAATGCCCTATTGTCTTGGTGTTTCTATTATTCAGGAAGGTCCTCGGACAATGGTGGGAATTGCAACATTTGACTCAACTATCCATTTTTATAATTTGAAACGTGCACTGCAGCAGGTAACATTTAGTTGCAATAAGTTTGCCTTATATCAATCGACAATTAATGTCTTTTCATCCTTTTTTTTAAATCATATGGAATTGACAATTGTGTTCAAGTTTCAATGTCTCAATGAAATTTTAAATACAGATAAATTTATATTTAATATTTCTTGCTGAATGTTAACATATGGAAAATATAGATAGAATTATGTCATAACTGTATTTTCTGTGTTGTGATTTGCATAATTTCAGCCCCCAGTAGAGTATGTAGCAGAATTTCTTGACTATCTTTGGATTTGGTTTCCGTCTCTTCATTTGGATTGTTATGCCTTGTTGATGACAAGTAATTTAACTATACACTTTTAAAAAAGTTTCAGACTAATTTAACTTTCAACTTACACTGCAGCCATTGATGCTGATTGTTCCAGATGTGCAGGATGTTTATATTCCTCTTGAAACTGATGTTGTTGTTCATCTTTCGGAGGTTGGCTCTTAATATTTTATGTTTCCGACACACAACATATACATACACACGTACACTGAGGCTGTGATGCTATTTATGGCTTTGATGGTGCTTTTAAAGTATGAGACAAAAAATGAACTATTTATAAGTTGATTGATTTTTTCTCTGGAGTTGCTTTGAATAATGCCTTTCAGTAACATTTTACTGTTGGATATTTGGATTTAGTGCCGTCAACATATAGAGCAACTGCTGGAAAGTATTCCAACAATGTTTCAGGACAACAGAACTGCTGAATCAGCCTTTGTTGCAGCAGTCAAAGTATCCCCTTTTTGACAAAGCATGCTTTTTCATCCTTGGTGAATTTTACATGTTATAAATGTCTTATGCCAAAAACTAAAATCTATTTGAGAGCATTGTAGAAGTTCGATTTGGTTGATGAATTTTATTAATTCTTTCTCTCTAAGGTACATTTCTTTAAGCATTTCTAGAGCATTCCAAAGATGCCATATTTTTTTTGCCTAAGGGCTTTTCTGCTTTCATATTATGATATATTAAACGTTTTATTGCTTTTTATATTATGATAAACAGTTTCAGCTTTTATATTATGATAAACTGTTTCAGCTTTTATATTATGATAATCTAATTGCAATCTATTTGATAATTTGATTCAATACACTCTGGTTAACTTTGCTGTTGCTTTGTTTGTAAATATCAGCCAACTGTTGGAAATGCAGGTATTCACTGATTCAGTTGTTTAAGATTAGACATTTTATACCATTCCATTGCTATTTCAGGCTGCTTTCTTGGCAATTAAGAGTTCTGGAGGGAAACTTTTGGTATTTCAGTCAGGCAAGTATATATTTTTTACTGTTGCATACTAAGCCTATTTGAATATAACTGTTTAAATTAGCGGCTTGCAGTGACAGATAAATTTAATGAAAATCAACAATTGAATCAGAAGTAGCAACATAAACTTTTTCAAGATTAACCAGAGCTTCTATCAGTAAATATTATTTTCTTCAATCCTCTTTCCTTCTTAGATGAGTTCTTTGTTCTCTGTCTTCTTTTATAAGTTTGAAGTGGGTTGATTGAAATTGTTTTGTTTTGTTTTTAACTCAGTCTATTTTGAAATAGAAATAATTTGGAATTTAAGGATATCCAAGTGAAAAAATTGGTTTATCTTTGTTTTATAGATTTGGTCATCCCTGTGTAATTAATGTGAGGCCCTTGATTTTATTGTTATCCTTTACATTCTCAAAATGATTTCTTTTTGCATAGATTGTAAGATTTCTTATTAATTTAGCTATACATTATTTTTAGATTTCATTTTGAAGTTTTGCACTGACTTACTTTAATTATTAATTTGAAACTTGAAAGGGCTCCTGGCTACTTGAGTTATTACCTGTGTGTATTGTTTGCATAGCTAGGTATTGACAAGCTGGTACAATATTTCAATTTTTTTTTTGTTGCATTTGACTTAAGAGGGATTTCTAATGGTTGTACCATGTGCAGTCCTACCATCAGTTGGCATAGTAGCACTTTCAACTCGAGATGCTGAAGGAAGAGCTAACATCTCTGCAGGAGAAAAGGTAATTATCTCATAGGTAGCTACAATCTGTGTACTATTTTTATTCTTGTGTTCCATGCTTGAGGATGTCATTTATATTGCTGAGAATGTACATGTGCTTTGAAGGTGTCTTCACTATTTGCTTGATCACGCTTAAGTTTTCCAGGCCAACATCCTGCTTTAAGAACATTAGGGCATAATGGACTTATGGTGAACATCTGGAGCAATCTGTATGAGAAAATGAGTTATTAGGCCCTACCAGATCATTTATTGTAGGGGCGCTTCAAATATACTAAACTGAGTATTCAGATATTTTCATCTTAATCCTACTAACCACAGATACTGTTGAGACTTCATAGCTGCAAATCTTTTTTTTCTTTTCAACTGATAGCTTGAACTTCTTTGCTTTTCTGAGTGTTAAGTTCAAATGTGGCCTCATTTTCAGTAGTTGCAATTGCCTGGCGATTTGGGTTTTATTATTCCTAACAACTTGCAGATATATGCGGTCTCTTTATGTTAAAAATAAAAGAAATAAGAAAAGGAACAATTGGTAGAAAACGTATATGTATATTAAGGCTTTATATTCCTCTGTTTTCTTTTTGGCCTGGCTTGTCTTCCTCTCTTGGTTAATTTTATTTTCTACAACTGTCAGTCTAGCTTCCTTTTTGTCCCACCAAGTTTTAATTAACTTAATTCTGACTTTGTTGCTTATATATTAACCGTTGTGACTTGTGAGTCTCGTGGTTTTAAATGAATTGTTCTGCTATTTGCTGGATTTTAGGAGGCTCATAAACTGCTCCAACCAGCAGACAAAACTTTAAAGACAATGGCAATTGAATTTGCTGAGTGCCAGGTGAACTTCTAAGTAATTTCGTTCTATCAGCTCACCATGATTCATTTATAATTAAAAATTCTGTCTGTGTTGCTTGGGGCATTTAGGTGTTGGTACAAATAACTTATATGGGCAAATTGTTTGAGTTTCAACATGTTCCAGGTCTGCGTGGATGTATTTATCACTACCCAGACTTACGTAGATATTGCTTCCATCTCTGTCATCCCAGGAACTACAGGAGGGCAGGTATTGTTGAATGTCTGATTCTTATATGCTGTTGTCTAATAATATGCTGCAAGCTATTAGCTCTTGTATCGGAGCTTGTGAGATCTTTTGGCTTTCAAATAAAACATGTGAGATGCATTGGTAAGATTGTTATAATCGAAAATCGGGACTGAGAAGTGTGATAATTAACTTTAATGTTGCTTGGTTTTCTTTGGGCTTTTGGTCCCTTTTATATATGTGCATCTATTTGTTTAGGTGATCCATTTTCTGTCCTATGATATCGTTGATTATTTATTATTTCAACAATTATGGCCGGAAAAAGGATATACCACTGAACTAAACTCCATTCCAGAATCAATAGCTATTGGTGGGTTTCAATTTTGTATTCTTGCTGAAGAACATGAAAGTGTCAAAGTGCCAATACTTTTTAATAGCAATGTAGACACTTCAATTTTCCCTGCCTTTGCTTGGGGAGTTCCCTTCATATTGACCTTGAGAAAGTGCTTGCAAGACCTCATGCTTACATCTTCTTATATCTGGATCTAGTCTTCTTCTCTGTTCCATGTAAAACTACCAGTCATACCTATCTATGGCTGATGTTGTGTCAACTGATATAGTTTTCAGTTCTAGCAATTTGGAGTCTTGAATAAAGCTTGCTTCAACCCGCAGAAGAGGCAAGGGATAAGTTTTATGAACAATATGGTTGGCTTATGGTTGAGCAGTTAATTTCACTTTGTGCACAATTTCTAGCCCAAGGTTGAGTTAAACATTAGTTTCTTATCATCCTCGGTGCACATCTGTCAGCTCTCTCAAGCTAGCCTTTTGTTAAATGTTTTTGGTTTTAAATCTAGAATTTGTATGCATCAGAAGATTGAATGTAATTTTCATTTAAAAATAACTTTAACTAATGAGAGCAAGAAATTGATAATATTAGTTAAATCATGGTTGCATCTGTCTTCTCCGTAACTTAATGATTTCTTATTGTTTTCATTTGCTTACCTGCTTGTCTTGTTTTGATTCAGTCCTTTACCCATAGCTCTATGCTTCATTGTGCTAAATGGATCAAACTTAAACAGTACTGTTGTTTAGTTTGCATCTTTATGATTGCTTCCAGATATTGCTCTTTTTTTTCCTCAAGAGAATCTGCATAGATCAGAAGTCACAGACACACATGCAATAAGGTCATTTGCAAAAATGAATCTCTGGCACAATGATTTTCTCTGCTCCCTCTAACTCTTATTTTCTCGTTTTCTTTCTCTTTTTTTCTTTTTTAAATAACTTTTTTTTCATTCACTTTACAAAATTACATGTTTTTCACTCTTTTTCAGGTTTATTACTATTACCCTTTCTCATCCATTTCTGATCCGGCAAAACTTTACAATGATCTTAGATGGAATATTACAAGGCCCCAAGGCTTTGAAGCAGTGATGCGTGTGAGATGCAGCCAGGTATCATTCTGGGAAACCAAAATCTTAGTTGTGATTTAAACCATTCTTTGTTTCTGAAGATGCTTTATGCTGGGAAGTTAATTTTGTTTTCATTTTTCTAGGGCATAGACGTGAAAGAATACCACGGGAACTTTTGCAAGCGCATTCCAACAGATGTTGACCTACCAGGGGTCCGCTTTTCAACTGAATTTTTTATCTGCTATTCTCCATGAGGATTGGCCTTGTTTGACTAACTGATTTGCAGAACACCAGAGAGTTAACAATGACCTATTTAAGCAGTTTACTAATTATTAGAAAGTTAATAGCAACGTACATCTGAACTTTTTTAGAAAGATTGTTAGGCATTAACTTTTGGTTGGGGGGAAGGAAGGCAATGTTAAGCATCTTAAAATTTTTAATGAGGTAGCTTATTTATCGCTTTAGCTTTTTACTCTTGGTGTTTATTCTACTTCTTGATCTACACTAGTCTATTTTTTCTATAAGTAGTCCTGTTACTAGTTTTCTCTCTCTAACTGAGGTGGCTTTTTTAAAAAATATAATTCCTGATCCATATTCTGAGCTTATTCCGATTGGTTTCTTCATGGTTTAACGTTTTTTCTGATCCATAGTCTGCTTGTTTATTATGCAGATAGACTCCGACAAAACTATTATGGTAACATTAAAACATGATGATAAACTGCAGAACGGATCAGAGTGTGCTTTTCAGGTACCATCTACTTTCCTTGCTGCATATCACTAACTTATATTATAATGTCCTCAATTTGTACTATCATTTATTGTTGGATGAGGATTTTCTTATGCTTTAATTCTACCATTTTTTCATTATCTAGTGTGCTCTTCTTTATACCACTGTGTACGGCCAAAGAAGAATCCGGGTTTCAACTTTGTCTTTGCCATGCACAAGAAACTTAGCTAACTTGTTCCGAGCAACCGACTTAGAGACACAATTTGTATGTTCTTTGAAGCAAGGTAAATTACACCATCTTGCATGCTTTGACTTAGTTTATTCAGTAGTTCTTTTTGTTCCTCCACAATAGTTTTTGATTAAGATCTGAAGCTTTAATTGCAACACTTGCACTTTGAAGTAATTCATCCCAATATGGCTTTATTATTTTTTTTATTGTACCAGAAGTTGTATATTCCTTGGTATGATATTAATTTTCATTGGAAAGAAGACTAACTTTATGTAATTGTTTTTCATTTTGCTTTACCTTCAGTGGCAAATGAAATACCTTCTACTCCACTCTTGCAAGTACGGGAACAAGTGACAAGTATCTGCATCAATAGATTGCTTGCATACCGTAAACTTTGCACCACAGCAACAACATCCGGGCAGTTTATTCTTCCTGAAGCGCTAAAGCTTTTGCCTCTATACACCCTTGGTAAATTCCACTCTATGTATTATTCTGATCTATATTGTTTGCCAACAGTAATGGTGGCTAAAGTTTAACCTCTTATGACTTTTAGATTTTTTACCCTGGCAAATGCATGTTTGAGAGTGGTGGATTTTAGAGCCACCATAATTTGCCTTGAGCTCACAACACTTTCTGTTGGATTACCTCTTAAGGCTGGGGATTGATAATTTTTTTCTTTTACTAATTCTTTCCAGCACTAACTAAAAGCACTGGATTGCAAATTGATGGGAGAATAGATGATCGGTCTTTTTGGATCAATTATGTTTCCCACATATCTACTGCTTCAGCAGTTTGCCTAGTGCTCCCACGCATGATTGCTGTTCATAACTTGGATCTCTATAAACCGGTTTGCCTTTTTGCTTTTTTTTTTTTTTTTGGGGGGGGGGTGGGAGGGTGGGGGTGGGTATATCATTAGTCCTTTTTGCAGAAATATACTTGACATCATTTCTAAGTTTTTGCTTGTTTGCTTGTTGACAGGAGGAGAATGAATCTGTTATTCCTCCAATACTTCCTCTTTCAAGTGAATATGTGAGTGAGGAGGGCATATATCTTCTTGAAAATGGTGTTGATGGCTTAATATACATTGGGAGCTTGGTGGATCCAGATATATTGCGACAACTATTTGGCATTTCTTCAGTTGACAAAACACCTACCCAGGTATCATGTTTTAATGATCTAAGGTATACGATGATAGTATCAAGATTGAAAAAAGTTGCTTTTTACTAATTTTTAAACAAAATTATAAAGTTGGACATAGAGTTTGAACTTTTCTCTTCTTGTAATGGTAATAATATTAAATTTGTTAAATTTTCAAAAAAAGGAACTAAGACCATCCGTGACTATGTGATTATGTCTGCTTTTCAGATTTATATCCTTTTTAGTCGCCATATAAAATATTAGACTGAGACATGTTGAATCTGAATCTCCAACCTTTGCTAAGGCCTTAGGGACATAGGTTTGTTATCTACCATAAAATAGGCTACCGTAGGATACTTCTAAGTTCTAACTATCTTAAAGGACTGTCGCGTGACCTCTGTTTGGCATCTTTATTTGGGAAGTGTGCATTTTGTATTTTAGATGGTCCAAGATGAAAAAGTGGGGAAAAACTATTTCCATCTTGGTTTCACCTAATGCAATCATTTGGAAAGAAAGACAATCTTGATAAACAATAAAAAGATGGAATGATTTCTTAGGGAGCATGGCAACGTAAACAATAGACCTGACAATCCAAAGCCATTCAATCTTAATGATATGAGATTCTTAAACTCACTCCTGAGAATTCAGCACTGATCAATTGTAAACTTTAACCAATGTCACTAAGTGGTTGTTTCTAACTTAGTTCCAGAACATGATAGGTGCTGCTTAATGGATAAATAAGATGCAGTTGGTTTTAATTTTTATCCTTAAACCTCTAACCACATCTCCCTCTCTTCAAAATGGAAGTTAGAAAAGAACCAAAAAAAAGGAAGTTTAGAAAAGAACAAAGGGGAAACATAGAATGAATGTTATTTTTGTTGGATTAAGAACTTGGGCAACAGAACCTTCAGAAATGAATCTTGTTGCATTGTTCTCCATCCAGCTTGAGATAACAGCAGTATATTATAGTTTCTTGTTTATTTACCTCCTTTCCCTCATCCTCTCCTTTCAAGTAAAAAGGGAAAAAAATTATCAGTATCAGCCTTATGCACTAGGACAAATCAATCAATGTCCTTTGTCTTGAGAGAAGTGTTCTAATAGAAGTGTGAATGCTCTGTGTTAATATTTCTTTCCGCTCATTTTTTTTTTATTTAACTGTCATAGTCTAAACAATGGCTTTAGATTTAGTATGCTTATTGTGATTGTAAACTGAAAGGTCTTTTTCAGAAATGTGTTGGAAAGATGCAATTGCTAGGCACATGTACAGTTATGCAACTTTCTATCTTATAACTAATAATTTCTTTGCTCAGTTTGTACTGCAGCAATATGATAATCCATTATCGAAGAAGCTAAATCATGTGGTGAATGAGATACGGCGCCAATGGTGCTCCTACCTACGGTATGATTGAGTTGTTTTTGGCAGCTTTTCTTAGTTTAAAGGAAAATATACTTTCTTTCCGATCAAAAATAAATCTGTTAACTACCGGTCAGCTGAGATAATCTCATGTATACATTTTTCTGGTATCTGTTTCTTGTTTTCCTTGCTTGTGCAGATGGACTTTGTGCAAAAAAGGAGATCCATCAGGTATGTTTGTTAATGCAACCCCATAATTGTAAAAGCTAAACAAAATGGCCGTTGAAGTTTCTCCATTTTAATTTGACCTTTTCTCACATAGTTTTTTTGTGCTAATCCATGAGTAAATTTTCAATGTTCCCTGACCCCTAGACTATTGATTCCATTACTTGAGGATCTTAATGCTGCATGCTCCATAACGTAAATGATCGTTTTCAAGAGAATCAAATTGTTAACATGTTTTGTTTGCTTCCAGGAATGTTGTTCTTCTCTTATTTGGTTGAAGACTCGAATCCGAAGGGCAGTCAATCCTATTCCGAGTTTTTGGCATATATCCATCGGAGCATTCAATCAAGAATGACTTGATCATTCATTGGGTGTTAGCAATTCAAAATGACGAGGGAAAAACAAAACAAACGAAAAAAAAAAGGGAACTTTTTTTGGCTTCAAACGACATTATTGCTATATACTGAAAGAAAGCTGGGAGAAGGGTTAATTTTTCATGATAGAGACCAGAAAAAAATTTGTATCACAGATTCTCATTCATAAAAAATCAAACATGTATACAAAGATTAATCTATTCAAAGAGTTTGATGAGACAGAAACAAGTAAAAGAAAGATAAAAGGCAGATATATTTGAAATTAAAATTAACCAAACTTGCTTTCTTTGTCTTTGATTTTTATGGACAGCTTGGAATCATGGAAAAGCGTTTTAAAGTTGGAATTGTAAGGCTCGGACATGGCCTTTATTTGCTATCATATTAATTTTTGAGGTAATTTGTATATTGATTTTATATTAAATACTTGTAAAATATAAAAATTATTTTATTACAATTCGTATTGATATATTAAATATAAAACATTTTTTTCAAACTCTTTTTGCTAAAATTATTTGCCATGTTGTTTGCATATTTTTTACCGTCTCATGCTTAAAATTACTTGATTTACTCCAATATGATCCTATAATTATATTCTACATCTGTTAGCCATTTTTTTTTAAACCTTGCCTATGGTGCAGATCCCTAAAATCACAGTTTTATGACCTCCGTGGCAATGGGTCAATAACATTACATGTTCATAAAATCTGTGTCAATGCCATTTTTGTTTGTTAACTTCGAAATAATGGTTCCCATTTTCTTTATAAATTCTGACCTTAAAATTAATCATAGCTTTTATTTCTCACATGATTTCTGAAATCAAACAATGCATAGTTATTATTTAGAACTTAAATGGGCAAACAATGCATAGTTATTATTTAGAACTTAAATGGGCAGTTTATCATAAACTGCTGTCTGATTCTGGTAACGAACTGAAGATGTTAATACAAGGTAAACATTTCCTTGGTCTTCTCAAATACTTGTTCAGCAATGTCAGCACCAGTGCCGTCAGCTTTCTTGATCTCCAGGTGAGCCTTCTGGTAAAAACCAGTACCTCTCAAGGCATCGGCAATGAAATCATCAAACCCAATCGCTATGGCTGCTTCGGCTTTGGCTCCATAAACCAGCCTCTGCAGCAAAAGAAAAAAGAAGTCAGAATTTTGATGAAGAAATGTGATATGTAGGTATATTATGAAATGATATGTTTTGCTGCTGGACCTTGATTCTTGACAGATGGATGGCACCAAAGCACATTGGACAGGGCTCACAGGAAGCATATATTTCACAGTCAGAGAGCTCAATCTGATTGAGCTTCTTGCATGCCTGTCATAGATGTCCGGTCCAAAGCATTAGAAAATGGTAAGCATGGATTTCCATGTGGTTATTTTGATCTTATGAAAACCTAACATTCTGATATAGCAATGTTTAACCAACACTGATGACAATCGTGCTGAATTAAAATGTATTTCCTCACAGTATTTATTACTTTCCAGTTGTTGCCATTTAGAGAACCAGAAAATATATGCAAACTTATTGACTATATATGACTCCTAGAAATACAGCTAACCATTGCCATTAAATAAAACAAAGCCATAGTAATTGATAATAAACTTTCACCAAATCCGGTTATGAGATTGATCTAAAATGAACAGAGCAAATAGATCACGGTAGAATCACAGAAAAATGCTGAAAAATCCCAAAAGAATGTTGGTGCATATAATATATATAATATATCTTCCACTGAAGTTATTATATTTTCCTACAGTTAACAAACAACATTTAGCTTTACGTAATGTTTCATGGTTTCGGAGATTGGCACTTTCAAAACTTCTAAGTAAACAGATAAATTGGATGAGGCAATTTGATTTTTTTTTTTTTTTTTTTTGCTTTTCTTGTTTTGGTCTTACCTCTCTAATGGCAGTAACCTCTGCATGGGCAGTAGGGTCAGTGTTTCTCAAAACCATATTGTGACAACTCACAATTACTTCATCATTGCGAACAACAACTGCACCAAATGGGCCCCCATCTTTACATTCAACGCCTTTATATGCCTCATCAATTGCTTGTCTTAGGAATTTGAGGTCTCTGTCCGGTGCAACTGGTTGAACAATAAACAGAAAAAAGAACATTTTGATCACCATCAACCAAATATCAAGCATGATGGTTTTCCCAAATCATTGCCCTCCTAATAAAGCAAATGAAATCTACCGCGTTAATCAAGTATATATCAATCGTTACTATTACAATCCAAGCGAGATCATCAATGATGTAACCATCACTATGATCTATAAAAGGTAACACAGCTAAAAAACCTATCAGATATGAACATTTATGAAGTGGAGTCATCTCCATTGCCATACTGAAGATGTTAAAACAATAGGTAAAATTCAATGAATGAACGGAATATGTTGATATTCTACTGCTGAACACCGTGAACAGGCCATTTGATGTTATTTCTTATCATTAAACTATCAGATATGAACATTTATGGCAGTCAAGTCATCTCCATTTCCATACTGAAGATGTTCAAACAATAGGTAAAATTCAATGAATAAAACTAATATGTTGATACCAAATAATTCTACTGCTGACCACCATGAACAGGCCATTTGATATTAGTTCTTATCATTAATCCCAGGAGCAAAATACTGAGAGACAGGTGAAAAATTGAAAATTAACTCCTTGATGACCAGGAAAAGCAGAGGCAACAGAAATGGTTCTATCTTTAGCTTCAGACACTATAAAGCCAAAAAGAGCAAAAAGGCCATTAATATTGTAACCAATTTATCTATAACAGATAGATAATTGATGCTTTAATACAGAAAACTGACACAAAAATAAGTCTAAAAATGTATAGATCAAGCCAAAAACTGTTAACTTTTTACAAAAAAAATGGAAAAAGTCGGTTCCTTTTCACTTCCAGGCATTCCCAAATTCAATTGATCTGTCTTATACTGGAAATGCAAGGCAAAGTAGGAAATTCAGTCGTTCCAAATTCTTCCCAACTAACAAATTTGCAAGAGATCAAATAAATCTTCATAAGAGAAAAAAAAAAATATATATATATATATATATATATATATATAAAACATCAAAACAGAAAGAAAGGACCTTGATGAAAGATCAAAAAACAAGATTTTCAGACAAAAGAAAAAAAAAACTCAGAAAAAGAAACATACCCATGATGAAAAAGAGAAGAAGGATGTAAAATCTGTTTGAATCAAGGCAATGGGCAGTCAACAAAGATGGGAAAAGAAAAAAAGATAAAATGAAAGAGAGAGAGAGGAGAACAAGCAAGGTTTGTCCATGTAATTAAATATATATATAGTCAAAAAAAAAAGAAAAAGAAAATTCAATTTGTAGAAAAATCACATGCAAAATAAAAAAAATAAAATAAAAAGACAAATGGGATTCTTTTTAGGCAGATTCAATGTATTTGTTTTCTTCTTCAATTCATATTTTCTAAAAGATGTCTCCAGAGAGTTAAAAATTTTGTGTACTTGCTTGTTTCTGCTGTGCTGTCTCTGGGTTGTTTCCAACTACTAACTTCCACAGATGGATTTTTGTTTCCGCGTTTGATGTCCAAACTAAAAAAACATTATTTAAATAATAGCCTCGTTTTTCTCAAGTAATTAATGCTATTGGAGTTGAAAATGGTTTTACTTTCAAAAGTTATTTTTATTTAATTTTAATGTTAAATAATAATAAAAATAATGTTTTCCTTTAAAAGTTTTATTTGTAAACTTAAACTAAAAATCTTTAAAAAAAATGCCTTTATGGTCAATTATAAATTTTGTAGATAAAACAAGTTTATTATCCTTATACATTTAAATTTTTATTTTTTTATTTTTTTAAAAATATTTTGATATTTTAATTAGAAATTACAAATCATATCTTGAGGTAATTAAACTTACATGAATCCCAAGAATTTAAATTAATTCAAATACGTAAGTTCGAGTCAAAGTCAAAATGATAAAATTATTTTTATTTAATTAATAAATTATTTTTTAAAAGAAAAATTCTATAATATCTTTTTAACCATAAGATGCCCTAAAAATAAATTTTTCTGTAAAATATTCAAATATTCAAATAAAGTAAAATTAAATTGGTGAAACACGTTTACTTTTTAATTGGAATGTTATGCCATTGGTAGGTTGGATTTCCATATCTATTAATTTTTTCTTGTATGGATACGTTTTACTATATTCATTTTATTATTTATGTAAAATCATTAAATGAAAAATATAAATATATGAACTATATACTTCAAAAAAGTGGATAAGATCACTTAGAAAAAAAAAAAAAAAACTTTGTTATTCTCTGTAATTTGATTTCAATCCCATCTTTCTAAAAATTTTGGATTGAAATGTAATATTTGCGATCTAAAACCAATTTAATGTGTAGTATGTGAATATCCATATAGATTTTATTTTTTTTTACTTTTGATTTTATTTTTAATGAAAATTTAATAATTTATATTTAAAATTTTTATAATAATATATTAAAGTTTAAGATCTTAATCTAAAAGTATCCATAGATAAGGTTAGTGAAAATATGATATTAATATTATATATGTTTGTCCAAATTTAATTTGACTCGATTCAATAATTTAAATTTTAAATATGTCAAATTTACTCATATTTGTAAATATTACAATTCATCCATTTATATTATTTTTTTCTAAATAAAAAAATTATTTAATCTTTAATAATTTTATTTTTTATTAAATTTTAAAATATGAATAACTTAACCTAATTTTAAATGTTTACATTGTAATATTAAATATTTTATCTTTTATATAATATAAATTACATAACATATATTATATAATTTAGAAAAAAAGATCGAGCCATGTGCTCCAGTCTTAAATGTTAAAGATAAGGTTCAACTCATTTTTTAATTATACGGTCCCATTTTTTTTCTTAAACTTATTTGAGGTATAATAATTTTTTTCAAACTCCCTCAAATATTGAATGAATATTTAAATTATGTCATTTTTATAATTTTTTTTTCATATATTTATACATGTTATTATCACCGTACATTGTATTTAGAATTGCCAAACTTAGCTGTAGGATTCTGAGAGTTGGAATGCGATGGGTAATTTGTTGCTGGCTGGCCCGCCAAAGTATTGATTACATTTAATTTAAGATTAAATCCATATAATAAAATGATACCTCCACTGCTTGTGGGTTTTTTTTTTTAAGGTGTGAAAAAATATCTTTATAAAAAATAATTTTAAATTGAATACTAAAAAATAATAATATTTATTAAATATTCATAATAAATCAAGATAATTATTTTAAACCATTGATTTTTTTAAAATAAAAAATAGTAGTTATATTTAATTTATTCAATTAATCATTTTATTTATTTTTTATTTTTAAAATAATATAATTCATACATAAAATAAAAAAATTAAATAGAAAAAATATTTTAAAAAATCCAAATTGTTATTGAGTTTAAACAAATTTATTAAATTCAAAATAGTTTAAAATTAGATCTAATTACCCACCACCAACACTTTTTTTTTTGTTATCTCGTTTAAAGGTTTGATTTTGAAAAGGTTAATGTATGAATAGTCCTAAACTATAATAAAAACATGATATTTTAATTTTAAAATTTTTTATTATAATATATAAATAATAAATTTATTAATTAATATGATACATGTAATGTTATTTGTCCATCACGTATTATTATTTAAAATTAATCAAATTAAATTAAATATTATATTAATTAACATATTTATAATTCAAATATCATATTAAAAATTTTTAAAATTCACACATTATATAAAATATTTCATTATAATTTAAAATTATTTATGGATTAACTCAATTTATAACCAATATTTTTTTCACTTGATGTCATATTTTTTCCATTCTCATTTGATATTTTCTTTTCATGATCATATATCTTCGGATTCAAAGAAAAAAATTATTTTTTGAGTTTTCAATTACTTTTTAAATATTTTTTACTTTTTTTTTCTGTTTGTAATTATGTTATTATCTTTGAAGTTTTTATTGATTTATTCTATAATTTTACCATTTTTAATATTATTTTTATTTAAAAAATTCACGTATCAATCAAAAAACTTATCATAAACAACTTTTTTTAAATATTAACCTTGAAAAAATAATAATTAAAAAATAAAATTGTTTCTGAATGATTAATTTATTGCCACTAACAAGTTGCTACAGCCCATTGTCCCCAACAATGTTTATATAGATATAAATTTGATTCCTTCAAATTTCAAGTCCAATATCCTTTAAGCATAAATACTTTCAAAAATCACTTATTAATCTCCATAATTGAACAGTTGGACCGACTTGATCTTTCTATCAGTAATTCCATTAACTCCACTAATAAAGGTTTGTTGGCCTATTATTCATTAATTGTCCTTCATGTTGAAAGTTTATCTAATAATTTATATTATTATTTTACACGAATATTACATATCATAATTTATATCGTTAAAAAAATATTATATTTTTTATTTTTGTTAAGTCATGATTTTTAATCTAACATTAATTTATATCTCATTTCCTTTTTTTTTTTCCATATTATTTTTATATTAAGTGCTTTTCTATTTCAATATTATCGTTAAAAATTGTGTTTCTTAATCCAGTATAAATCAAACTAGCTATAGAGTTGATCATTACAATTGAATTATGTATTAAGCCTTCTCCAAACTGGAATCATGCAACATTTGAGTTAAAAACAAGAACCGTGCAAACATATCCTAACCCAAAAAATTACAGATTGACAAAATCAAGGGCAAATTATAAGAAATATGAATGTATTATACAAATATCCAAAATCCTGGAAGAATACCAAAATAGGACAATCAGATGAAAAAGCTAAACATACAGTTGACACCAAAATCCAGTTTAAAAAAAAAACAGATCAGAAAACCTAGACACTTCAGAATAGTAAAGAAAGGCTGCCGGAAAACATTGGCTCTTAAGATAAGCACAAACTTGACCTCTTCTTTCCTGCCTTTTAGCTCACTTCTTCTTTGATGCTTCTTTGTGCTAATCCATGAGTAAATTTTCAATGTTCCCTGACCCCTAGACTATTGATTCCATTACTTGAGGATCTTAATGCTGCCTGCTCCATAACGTAAATGATCGTTTTCAAGAGAATCAAATTGTTAACATGTTTTGTTTGCTTGAATTCCTTCTTCCCAGGAATGTTCTTCTTCTCTTATTTGGTTGAAGACTCGAATCCGAAGGGCGGTCAATCCTATTCCGAGTTTTTGGCATATATCCATCGGAGCATTCAATCAAGAATGACTTGATCATTCATTGGGGTTAGCAGTTCAAAAACGAGGGAAAAACAAAAAAAGAAAAAAAAAAAGCGAAATAACTTTTTTGCTTTCAAACGACATTATTGCTATATACTGAAAGAAAGCTGGGAGAAGGGTTAATTTTTCATGATAGAGACCAGAAAAAATTGTATCACAGATTCTCATTCATCAAAAATCAAACATGTATACAAAGATTAATCTATTCAAAGAGTTTACGTGGAAGTTAATCGTTGGTGGGAATTAAAGATGAGACAGATACAAGTAAAAGAAAGATAAAAGGCAGATATATTTGAAATTAAAATTAACCAAACTTGCACTCTTTGTCTTTGATTTTTATGGACAGCTTGGAATCATGGAAAAGTGTTTTAAAGTTGGAATTGTAAGGCTCGGACATGGCCTTTGTTTGCTATCATATTAATTTTTGAGGTAATTTGTATATTGATTTTATATTAAATATGTGTAAAATATAAAAATTATTTTATTACAATTCGTATTAATATATTAAATATAAAACATTTTTTTTCAAACTCTTATGCAATTTTTGCTAAAATTATTTGTCATGTCGTTTACATATATTTTTACCGTGTCATGGTTAAAATTACTTGATTTACTCCAATATGATCCTATAATTATATTCTACATCTGTTAGCCATTTTTTTCTAAACCTTGCCTATGGTGCAGATCCCTAAAATCACAGTTTTATGACCTCCGTGGCAACAGTTCATAAAATCTGTGTCAATGCCATTTTTGTTTGTTAACTTCGAAATAATGGTTCCCATTTTCTTTATAAATTCTGACCTTAAAATTAATCATAGCTTTTATTTCTCACATGATTTCTGAAATCAAACAATGCATAGTTATTATTTAGAACTTAAATGGGCAGTTTATCATAAACTGCCATCCTAAATGGGCAAACAATGCATAGTTATTATTTAGAACTTAAATGAGCAGTTTATCATAAACTGCTGTCTGATTCTGGTAACGAACTGAAGATGTTAATACAAGGTAAACTTTTCCTTGGTCTTCTCAAATACTTGTTCAGCAATGACAGCATCACTGCCGTCAGCTTTCTTGATCTCCAGGTGAGCCTTCTGGTAAAAGCCAGTACCTCTCAAGCCATCGGCAATGAAATCATCAAACCCAATCGCTACGGCTGCTTCGGCTTTGGCTCCATAAACCAGCTTCTGCAGCAAAAGAAAAAAGAAGTCAGAATTTTGATGAAGAAATGTGATATGTAGGTATATTATGAAATGATATGTTTTGCTGCTGGACCTTGATTCTTGACAGATGGATGGCACCAAAGCACATTGGACAGGGCTCACACGAAGCATATATTTCACAGTCAGAGAGGTCAATCTGATTGAGCTTCTTGCATGCCTGTCATAGATGTCCAGTCCAAAGCATTAGAAAATGGTAAACATGGATTTCCATGTGGTTATTTTGATCTTATGAATACCTAACATTCTCATATAGCAATGTTTAACCAACACTGATGACAATCGTTCTGAATTAAAATGTATTTCCTCACAGTATTTAGTACTTTCCAGTTGTTACCATTTAGAGAACCAGAAAATATATGCAAACTTATTGACTATATATGACTCCTAGAAATACAGCTAACCATTGCCATTAAATAAAACAAAGCCATAGTAATTGATAATAAACTTTCACCAAATCCAGTTATGAGATTGATCTAAAATGAACAGAGCAAATAGATCACGGTAGAATCACAGAAAAATGCTGAAAAATCCCAAAAGAATGTTGGTGCATATAATATATATAATATATCTTCCACTGAAGTTATTATATTTTCCTACAGTTAACAAACAACATTTAGCTTTACGTAATGTTTCATGGTTTCGGAGATTGGCACTTTCAAAACTTCTAAGTAAACAGATAAATTGGATGAGGCAATTTATTTTTTTTTTTTTTTTTTTTTTTGCTTTTCTTGTTTTGGTCTTACCTCTCTAATGGCAGTAACCTCTGCATGCGCAGTAGGGTCAGTGTTTCTCAAAACCATATTGTGACAACTCACAACTACTTCATCATTGCGAACAACAACTGCACCAAACGGGCGCCCATCTTTACATTCAACGCCTTTATATGCCTCATCAATTGCTTGTGTTAGGAATTTGTGGTCTCTGTCCTGTACAACTGGTTGAACAATAAACAGAAAAAAGAACATTTTGATCACCATCAACCAAATATCAAGCATGATGGTTTTCCCAAATCATTGCCCTCCTAATAAAGCAAATGAAATCTACCGCATTAATCAAGTATATATGAATCATTACTATTACAATCCAAGCGAGATCATCAATGATGTAACCGTCACTATGATCTATAAAAGGTAACACAGCTAAAAAACCTATCAGATATGAACATTTATGGAAGTAAAGTCATCTCCATTGCCATACTGAAGATGTTAAAACAATAGGTAAAATTCAATGAATGAACGAAATATGTTGATATTCTACTGCTGAACACCATGAACAGGCCATTTGATGTTATTTCTTATCATTAAACTATCAGATATGAACATTTATCGCAGTCAAGTCATCTCCATTTCCATACTGAAGATGTTCAAACAATAGGTAAAATTTAATGAATAAAACTAATATGATGATACCAAATAATTCTACTGCTGGCCACCATGAACAGGCCATTTGATATTAGTTCTTATCATTAATCCCAGGAGCAAAATACTGAGAGACAGGTGAAAATTTGAAAATTACCTCCTTGATGACCAGGAAAAGCAGAGGCAACAGAAATGGTTCTATCTTTAGCTTCAAACACTATAAAGCCAAAAAGAGCAAAACGGCCACTAATATTGGAACCAATTTATCTATAACAGATAGATAATTGATGCTTTCATACAGAAAACTGACACAAAAATAAGTCTAAAAATGTATAGATCAAGCCAAAAACTGTTAACTTTTTACAAAAAAAATGGACAAAGTCGGTTCCTTTTCACTTCCAGGCATTCCCAAATTCAATTGATCTGTCTTATACTGGAAATGCAAGGCAAAGTAGGAAATTCAGTGATTCCAAATTCTTCCCAACTAACAAATTTGCAAGAGATCAAATAAATCTTCATAAGAGAAAAAAAATAAAATATATATATATATATATATATATATAACATCAAAACAGAAAGAAAGGACTTGATGAAAGATCAAAAAACAAGATTTTCAGACAACAGAAAAAAAATCAGATAGAGAAACATACCCTTTGCTTCTTCCATGATGAAAAAGAGAAGAAGGATGTAAGATCTGTTTGAATCAACGCAATGGGCAGTCAACAAAGATGGGAAAAGAAAAAAAGATAAAATGAAAGAGAGAGAGGGAGAGAGAGAAGAACAAGCAAGGTTTATCCATGTAATTAAATATATATATATATAGTCCTGGCTGAGAAAAAAAAAAAGAAAAAGAATATTCAATTTGTAGAAAAATCACATGCAAAATAAAAAAAATAAAATAAAAAGACAAATGGGATTCTTTTTAGGCTGATTCAATGTATTTGTTTTCCTTTTCATTTCATATTTTCTAAAAGATGTCTCCAGAGAGTTAAAAATTTTGTGTACTTGCTTGTTTCTGCTGTGCTGTCTTTGGGTTGTTTCCAACTACAAACTTCTTGGATTTTTGTTTCCGTGTTTGATGTCGAAACTAAAAAAACATTATTTAAATAATAGCCTCGTTTTTCTTACGTAATTAATGCTATTGAAGTTGAAAATGGTTTTACTTTCAAAAGTTATTTTTATTTAATTTTAATGTTAAATAATAATAAAAATAATGTTTTCATTTAAAAGTTTTATTTGTAAACTTAAACTAAAAATCTTTTTAAAAAAATGCCTTTATGGTCAATCATAAATTTTGTAGATAAAACAAGTTTATTATCCTTATATATTTAAATTTTTATTTTTTATATTTTTAAAATTATTTTAACATTTTAATTAAGGATTACAAATCATATCTTGAGGTAATTGAACTTACATGAATCCCAAGACTTTAAATTAATTCAAATATGTAAGCTTGAGTCAAAATGATAAAATTATCTTCGTTTAATTAATAAATTATTTTTTAGAAGAAAAAGTTTATAATATTTTTATGATCATAAATGCTCCTAAAAATAGATTTTTCTGTAAAATATTCAAATATTCAAATAAATTATAATTAAATTGGTGAAACACGTTTTACTTTTTAATTGGATGTTATGCCATTGGTACGTTGGATTTTCATATCTATTAATTTTTTCTTGTATGGATACGATTTACTATATTCATTTTATTATTTATGTAAAATCATTAAATGAAAAATCTAAATATATGAACTATATATTTCAAAAAAGTGGATAAGATCACTTAAAAAAAAAAATATTATATATGTTTGTCTAAATTTAATTTGACTCGATTCAATAATTTAAAATTCAAATATGTCAAATTTACTTAAATTTGTAAATATTACAATCTCGTCCATTCATATTACTTTTTTTTCTAAATAAAAAATTATTTAATCTTTAATAATTTTACTTTTTATTAAATTTTAAAATATGAATTACTTAACCTAATTTTTAATGTTTACATTGTAATATTAAATATTTTATCTTTTATATAATATAAATTACATAATATAAATTATATAATTTAGAAAAAAAGATCGAGCCATGTGCTCAATCTTAAATGTTAAAGCTAAGGTTCAACTCATATTAATTATATGGCCCCATTTTTTTTCTTAAACTTATTTGAGGTATAATTTTTTTTTTCAAACTCCCTCAAATATTGAATGAATATTTAAATTATGTCGTTTTCATATTTTTTTTCATATATTTATACATGTTATTATCACCGTACATTGTATTTAGAATTGCCAAACTTAGCTGTAGGATTCTGAGAGTTGGAATGCGATGGGTAATTTGTTGCTGGCTGGCTGGCTGGCTGCCAAAGTATTGATTACATTTAATTTAAGATTAAATGCATATAATAAAATGATACCTCCACTACTTGTGGGTTTTTTTTTTTCTTTTAAGGTGTGAAAAATATATCTTTATAAAAAAATAATTTTAAATCGAATACTAAAAAATAATAATATTTATTAAATAATAATAATAAATCAAGATAATTATTTTAAACCATTGATTTTTTAAAAATAAAAAATAGTAGTTATATTTAATTTATTCAATTAATCATTTTATTTATTTTTTATTTTTAAAATAATTTAATTCATACACAAAATAAAAAAATTAAATAGAAAAAATATTTTAAAAAATCCAAATTGTTATTGAGTTTAAACAAATTTATTAAATTCAAAATAGTTTAAAATTAGATCTAATTACCCACCACCAACACTTTTTTTTTTTTTTTGTTATCTCCTTTAAAGGATTGATTTTGAAAAGGTTAATGTATGAATGGTCACTAAACTATAATAAAAATGTGGTATTTTAATTTTAAAATTTTTTAATATAATATATGAATAATAAATTTATTAATTAATGTGATACTTATAATACTATTTATCCATCATGTATCATCATTTAAAATTAATCACGTTGAATGTAAATATTATATTAATTAATATTTTTATAATTCAGATACCATATTAAAAACTTTTGAAATTCACATATTATATAAAATATTTTACTATAATTTAAAAGTTATTCATGGATTAACTCAATTTATAACCATTATTTTTTTCACTTGATGTCATTTTTTCCATTCTCATTCGATATTTTCTTTTCATGATCATATATCTTCGGATTCAAAGAAAAAAATATTTTTTGAGTTTTCAATTACTTTTTAAATATTTTTTACTTTTTTTTCTGTTTGTAATTATGTTATTATCTTTGAAGTTTTTATTGATTTATTCTATAATTTTACCATTTTTAATATTATTTTTATTTAAAAAAATCACGTATCAATCAAAAAACTTATCACAAACAACTTTTTTTAATATATTAACCTTGAAAAAATAATAATTAAAAAATAAAATTTGTTTCTGAATGATTAATTTATTGCCACTAACAAGTTGCTACAGCCCATTGTCTCCAACAATGTTTATATAGATATAAATTTGATTCCTTCAAATTTCAAGTCCAATATCCTTTAAGCATAAATACTTTCAAAAATCACTTATTAATCTCCATAATTGAACAATTAGACCGACTTGATCTTTCTATTAATAATTCCATTAACTCCACTAATAAAGGTTTGTTGACCTATTATTCACTAATTGCCCTTCATGTTGAAAGTTAATCTAATCATTTATATTATTATTTTAGACGAATATTATATATCTTAATTTATATCAATAAAAAAACGCTATTTTTTATTTTTGTTAAGTCATGATTTTTAATATAACATTAATTTATATCTCATTTCCTTTTTTTTTTTCATATAATTTTTATATTAAGTGCTTTTCTATTTCAATATCATCGTTAAAAATTGTGTTTCTTAAACCAGTATAAATCAAACTAGCTATAGAGTTGATCATTACAATTGGAATTATGTATTAAGCCTTCTCCAAACTGGAATCATGCAACATTTGAGTTAAAAACAAGAACCGTGCAAACCTATCCTAACCCAAAAAATTACAGATTGACAAAATCAAGGGCAAATTATAAGAAATATGAATGTATTATACTAAATATTCCAAAATCCTGGGAAGAATACCCAAAATAGGACAATCAGATGATAAAGCTAAACATCAGTTGACACCAAAATCCAGTTTAAAAAAAAAACAGATTCAGAAAAACCTAGACACTTCAGAATAGTAAAGAAAGGCTGCCGGAAAACATTGGCTCTTAAGATAAGCACAAACTTGACCTCTTCTTTCCTGCCTTTTAGCTCACTTCTTCTTTGATGCTTCACTGGCCTTGGTCTATTGAACAAGTAAAACAGTTATAATCGGCCTCATCAGTCATAAAGTGTCTAAAAAATGATAGCAGTTCAACTAAGCTCTCATTAAATATCAATTAATCGGTATTACCTTCTTTACTCCGCGGATCTTCTTAGCCCTGTTCTTCCTTTCCTTCATTTGCTTCCTTGATTTCTCTACCTTGGTATCAAGTCCATTCTGAAACAGCAACAGAAATATTTAGTGCCTTGCATTGTCTCTGGAGTCTTTCAAAGAAACCAATTCAAATGCAACCAATGGCAAACAATGGAAAGACAATAGGTATCACAATGGGGAACCAAAAAAGGGAAATTTAAGAGAGCCCAGAACGTTAAGTAACATGCCTCCAGAGTTTTTAATTAAAAGCTATTTTAGATATCAAACAACTTAAGTTGGCAGAAAGTTCCAGCTCAATCCCTTGCATGCTACCTCGAGCTTTTCTCCATAACCAGGCAGTTTTCAAGCACTTTTTACAAACACAAACTCTAGTTAAAAATCCAACTTGTTAGTTTTTAAGGGTTAAGTTGATTCCATTCTCTATAGTGTCACATTACGATGAAGGAACTGAAAGAGGTATGAACAGAGAATTCCGCAAATAAATCAAGTCAAGATAAAACTTCAACAAATTACTAGTGGAACAATCACACTGCATCAAGCACAGGCAGCTTATAATACTAGCAAAATTCAGAGAAAATGTACAGAACACACAGAGCTAATTACCCTGATCAGCCTGTACTTGGGCTCGTACTTCTTTGCATTCTCAACAGAATCATAAATCAAACCAAATCCTGTAGATTTACCACCTCCAAAATGAGTTCTGAACTTGAACACAAAGATTGAATTTGGGTCCTTCACCTCATACATTCTAGAAAGCTTCTCCTTCAGCTCGGCCTAACAACCCCACATCAACAAATCAAAAACCAGCTAACACAACCAATAAATATATACTAGCACTTAAGATAAGACTACAACATTATTGGGAAGCATTAAAGATTTACCTTGGAAACATTCGGCCTCCCAGGATGCAAAACATCAATGACCTACACAAAACCAAGTAGATATCAAGTTTCAGCTACCACGTTAACAATGACCTCAAACAAACATAAGCTCATATTTGATTTCTCAGTTTCCACCCCAAAAACAATTCGTTTCGTTATTAAAGACATCATATTTCTTAAGCAAAACAGCCTATTATTTTCAAACAACAATTTAAGCAAAGTCCTAAATTAAGCATCTTGCTAGAAAAGTAATAAAAAGACATTTTTCTATTATTTTCTTGTATTTCCCTTCTTTAATCACATATAAAATTAATACTAAACCCTAGCCAAAGAACGTAATAGAAAGAAGGAAAAGAGGGATCTACATAAAACCGTAAGACTCTAAAATCTAAAATCGACCCATGTTTGGTTACCAAGAAAATAAATGAAAAATGAGAGAAAAATAAAAAGATAAAACCCTAAGACTAAAATCTAAAATTGACCCATGTTTGGTTACCGAGAAAATGAATGAAAAATGAGAGAAAAGTAAAAGGGAACTTACAAATTGTTTCCTGGAAAGGAGCCTGTTGGTCATGAACTTCCTGGTCCTAATAGTCACTGCCTTGTCAGCCATGGCTAAGCAAAAACCTTCCCTTCTTTTTTCTCTTCCTTTGGAGCAGTTAAAGTACCGGAGGCTTTGAAACAGCAGCAGCTCAAGGAAGGAGAATGAAAGCGGCGAAAACCTAGCTTTTATAGCATTAGGGTTTCAATGGGACAAGACTGAAGAATTGATTTGGGCCAGGCTGGTTATTATTTTTATAGTTTTTGAGTCTTAGGTTTGGGATTGGGCTAAAAACTTTTTAATTTAATATTTCTTGCCTGCTTCAAAAGCCCGAATCATTTATGGCTAAGTTTGGCTTAATAAGTTACTCTACCAGTTAACGCAGCGTTTTGACCTTTTGCCTCTTGTTTCCCTCGGCTTTTTCTCAAGGAAAATCAAGCCGGAAAATTCGATCCAAAACCCTACCTCTAAGAAAACAAAATCTTCTGATAAGGAAAAGAAAGAAAAAAAAATGGCTTTATGGAGAGGTCGCACAGCTTCATCGAATCTCTTAAACAGGCTTCTCCATCCACCGTCTCGCCTTCCCTACTGCAACTTCTCGTCTGGTACTTCTCTCTCTTTTCTCCCCCAAAGTTTTTATATTTTTATTGCAAAATGGCGTCTGATCTTATTTCTCGTTTGGATTCTGAGAGATCATCTCTCTTTTAAGCTCAAAATTTAAAGCAGAACGAGAGAAAAAGGTGTTAAAAGAATAAAAATTTGTTCTTTAACTTCTGGGGTTTAGAATTTATGGTTCAGTGTTTAACGGAATTGTTGTATCGAGGGAAGAAAAGAAAAGAAGCTGTAAATATCATTTGCTTTTGAATTGATCTGTTTTTTGTAGTTGCGGCTGATGTTCATAGTCAATCAATGATTGAAAATATGAAGAGAGATTTACTTAATCTTGACATTAATTCACAAATTGGAAGTTGTATGCCACTTGCTTCGATGCGAATCGGAACCATTATCCACAATATTGAGGTGAACCCCGGTCAAGGTGGAAAGCTGGTCCGAGCAGCTGGAACCTCAGCTAAGATCCTCAAAGAGCCGAAATCAAGATACTGTTTGATCAGACTGCCGTCGGGTGTTGAAAAGTTGATTGATTCTCAGTGTAGGGCAACAGTTGGTACGGTGTCGAATCCTACCCATGGAGCTAAGAAGCTTAGGAAGGCTGGACAGAGTCGGTGGTTGGGTAGGAGGCCAACAGTTAGGGGAGTGGCAATGAATCCAATTGATCACCCTCATGGTGGTGGTGAGGGTCGGAGTAAAAGTAGTGGGAGTTATGGAAAGACTTCGCGCACTCCTTGGGGCAAACCTTGTAAGTGTGGGTATAAGACTGCTAAAAGCAAGCGCAGAAAGTAGTGCTTGATCCATTTGGCATGCAGTTTCTTCATGCATTTTAAACGCTCAAACTTTCGTGATTTTGAGGAAATTTGTATGGATTGAGCTGTTTGAAGCTATACGAAACTGCATGTTTGTTCTTCTATTGGGGATTTGTGGCAAATAATCAGATTAGTTTCAGGGTACATGTTTCATTTATTCGAGATCTCAGCTGATCAAATATTCTATTGGAGTCTCTCTTTCCGTCTGTACCTTTTATTTTCCTTTGAGGCTTAACCAACCTATAATCCTGTTTGTCAAAAGAGTGATACATTAGTTTTATAATATGCAGCTTCAACTTTGTATGCACTATCTAAATCATTTTTAACTGTGCATCTTTGGTATTGATTTATTCTTCTGTTCCACCCTGTTTTTGATTGATCTCTCGAAATCTTTTTTTTTTTTTTTCTGGAGGTTGTCTTAGTATGAAAAAACAACATATAATGTGTTTCAGAAATCTTTTTTGGAAAGGGAGTGTGTGCGAGTTGTTTATTTCAAGAATAGGCTGGATTCACCCAGTTGCACTTTTTTTCATTATAACTAGGAAAGAAAAGAGTGCATGATCCCGCGAATTACTTCTGAATAAATTTCAAAATCATATTTAAGAACCATAGCATTTCGTCATTCATTGGTACATCGACTTTGATTCTCTATTAACCAATAATCCGGGACCATTAACATGGTTAAGGCCAAACTGTTTGAAGTTCAGTTCTAGCAATTTAACTTTGGATTCTAGGTAAATTCTGTGTTAAAATTTATGCATTTGTTTAGATGCTTTGCTACTAATCTACCGTAAGCATTCTTTAGGTTGCAACTTTTTATTAGCACTTTTATCAATCAGTGACGATCTTGGTGGCCGTACAAAAAGAACTTCCATTGGCTAGTATCGAATATCAATGGCCGCATAGATCTAAATAATGAGCTGCAAAGGCTTTGCTCCACCCCAGCAAGTTGCTAGGAGTAAGAACAAAATAGTTCTTGATAGTTTTTACTAGTACATTGCACTGTTTCCTGGCTTTGTTCTTGATTGATCTTTGATTTTGATGCAGGAGTTGAGGTTTTGTATGGACCTCTTAAAACAGAAAATGACACCTTGTTAGGGGAAAAGCTATTTATTTCTCTCTGGTTATGTTTCCTGGGAAATAATTATTTTATATTTTAATATTAAAATAATATTTAAAAAATAAAAAAATTAATTTTTAAAAACTTATATATCAAATCAATGATATAAAATTCGATTTAAATTTAAATCAAATTTTAAAAATTTATAATTTTATGGGTTATAAAAAAACTAAACCACGTGAGCCGTTATCAAGAGACGAGATTGATCCACGGTGTCTCGCGCACTTTCTACTCACCTCACACATGTGACATAAAAAATCAAAGGAAAAAAAAAATCCAATTGAAAACGTAGAAATACAAATCAAAGATGAGGTTCACAAAACAAAACCGCCGCTCCCTTTCCGTGGCCACAACTTCCTCCGATTTCACCATCACCCACCACATTTCTGCTCGGCTAAACCAAAACATTCCCCATTTCCTCAAAAATATCTCTCAACCCCAAGACCCATCTCCCCCCATTCCCCATGGCAACCACCGCTTCTTGTTTGCTCCAATCCATCCCTTTAAACTTGAAACAATCTTTTCCCCTTCATTTGTCTCCTGTTCGCTTATGTAAATTTAGAGGAACCTCGACTGTTCGAGAACAACGTTCTGCTGAATTTAATGTTAAATGCTTCTTATTGCCTGAGAAGAGGAAGCATTTAACGAGCTCGAATTTGAAGTCCAATCATTTGAGTTCGAGTTCGAGTTCGAGTTCAGATGGTAAAAACCCATTTGAGATTATTGCTGAAACAATCGTAAAATCTTTAAACGCGTTGAAAAAGCCAGCTATAGCCGCGGTTTTATTGGGTTTGTTGTTAATGTATGATCCTAATAACGCGGCATTGGCTGCATCAGGAGGGAGGATGGGAGGAAGGTCTTTTTCTTCCAGTTCTTCGTCTTCCCGGAGTTATTCCGTGCCTAGAAATGGAGGGTCGAGCTTTTCTTCGTACTCGGCTCCTTATTATGCGCCTGCCCCATTTGGTGGTGGTGGTGGGTTTTATATGGGGCCTGCTGTTGGGGTTGGAGTTGGTGCTGGGTCTAGTTTTATCTTGATTTTGGTTGGGTTTGCTGCGTTTGTTTTGGTTTCGGGGTTTCTTTCGGATAGGTCTGAGAGTAGCGTGCTTACTGCTAGTGAAAGGACTAGTGTTCTTAAGCTTCAGGCAAGTTTTTGTTTGTTCTTTATTTTGCTTTAACTAGTGAATTTCCTCTAATTGCAATAATCTGGATGTGTGGTTTTATCTCATTTAAAATCGTGACTACATAGGTGATAAAGTTTTCAAATTTATGTTTAACATTAATGAATCGATTACTTTTTGTTCTGTTATTTAAAAAAAAAAAAAGGTAATATTTTGTGCATACTGATCTTATAGCAATATTAGTATAGCTGGTTTTTAGATTAGAAAAAAAAAAAAAGACTGTGTTTCTAAGGAATTGTTTCCTGTGGTTTCGTAATAGATGCATATATACAATATGTAGTGGCTTTTAGATATATGGACAAATACAGGATCAATCAACGTGTGGAGAGTTTGGAATATTAAAAGTGAATCAGATGCTGAAGAGGAGGGTTGCTGAAATGTGAATTTTGGTGGAGTCTTTGAACTTTGATAGTGCCAATATGAATTGCTTTTCTATTTAAGTTTTGAGACTTAATTTTGTAAGAATAACTTTCATGTAAAATGAATTATTAGACATGCAATTGTGCTGATTACCATCATGAATCGAATTTGTTAGCCATTTGTTGGTTTGCAGTCTCACCATTGTTTTTGTTATTCTTATTTTTAGGTCGGGTTGTTGGGTATGGGACGCTCTCTTCAAAGGGATCTAAATCGGATTGCTGAAGTTGCTGATACTTCTACTTCTGAGGGTCTAAGCTTTGTATTGACAGGTAAGATTGCCTACAATTAAATCATTTGAGTCTTTTATACTTGATTTAAGGGTAGATTCTCTGCTAATTATGCAGATTACAAATGGCAAGATGTGATAGATGAAAATACTCTTCCCTTTTAACTGTTGTTGCAATCATCTTGACACTAATAACCCAGTATTAATCCTAGTCATAAAGAAAAGATAATCACGTAAGAGGCTATGTACAAACCTTATAGTGCTATAGCATAGTTATCCTATTTGGCTATTTGTTATTTTGAAATCGGCTTTAGAAAATAACAACTCTATGATATCTAATCAATTTGCTGACATACAATTATGACTAATAAGATGCACAGGCTTTTTCCCCTCTTCAGTGATTTAGTTTGATTAATTTCACACAGATGCCTTTCATTACCTTGCTTCCTTCTACTTTGCTGATGGTTATATGATTTTTTTCCCATGCAAGAAATGGGCAGATAGCTGTGAGTCTATGATCTTTCTTCTTTCTGTTTTTCTTTTGCAATACTTGTAGATGTATAAGGTGTCCTGGTGGTGCTAAGTAGTGTATGTTCTGCTAATTTTCTTAAGCATGTCAAGTCAATGTCTGTCAGACTGATTATGTGTACCAAGGAAGTTTTTACATACTTATTTTTTTGGCAGAGACAACGCTAGCTTTGCTTCGCCATCCTGATTATTGCATCTCTGGTTATTCGTCTGTAAGTTAGCCTTTCTGAAATGGTTTGTTTGTCTCTCTTGGTGAACCAATCAAGCACATGGCTATGCTTTTTCGTGCCTTTTGCATCTTGAAGAAATATTCAAGGATAATCACATGCTTGGGGGTAGATATAAAGGTTCTTTATGCATGCATATAATGCTCTTAAAAACAATATGCATTGACATACTCTGAAATTTATGTAAGTTGGTAGGTACATAGGTAGAAACACTTCAGCATGCTTCATTAATTGGAACAGAAGATAAGGTGGTTCTTTTTTTTTTTTGGAATGTTTGTGTGTGACTGTTTTAGGAACTCTTATCATGACTATAAATATTCAGTTTAAGGATTTCGATAATGATAAGATTCTAGTTTTAAAGATCTTGGTTTTAGACATTCATTTCTCTTTCTAATTTATAATAATGGGAGATATACAGGACCGTCTTTCTTTGCATTCTTTCATTGAGCATCTTTTATTGTAATGACATAGATTAATTAGGAGATTGTGTCTCATGTGTATACCTTTACTAAGGGAAAAAAAAAAAGAGAGAGAGAGAGAGAGAGAGGGAACATGTTGATTATGTAAAAATTTGGGATAACTTCCTTAGAAGTATATCCCTTGTGATATTTTGGACTTTTTTCCTTGTGGTTCTAGTTTATAAGCTTCAGTTAACTAGGCATCATGATTGTCTAATGCCTGAATGTGTATGTTTGGTATATTCTGCAGGCGGATGTCAAACGGAGCATAGACGATGGGGAGAAACGCTTCAATCAACTCTCTATTGAAGAACGGGGTAAATTTGATGAGGAGACTCTAGTGAATGTGAACAATATTAAAAGGCAAAGTACAATAAGTCAGAAAGCTAGTGGATTTAGCAATGAGTACATAGTGGTAAGACCCCATTCCTTAAGTTACAGCTACTGCAAATGTATTAGTTTGGATGCATTGAAGACATCATTCTGGACAATATTCTGTACTATGTTTATCTTTCATCCACTCAATGAGTTGTACCATGTAAGCATTACAGCAATCCATGGACTATGTTTTATCTGCATGGAAGGATTGAGAGATATTGCTTCTTTAGGAATAGTAATATATTAGCATTGCAATTGATGTAAATTGAGTTTAAGGGATAGGTTTCTTCAGCATTCATTTGGTTAACCCTTGAACTCTGATGTTCAACTTTCATTTGTCTAGATTATGAACCTGTTATTCAAGATGCATAAACTATGAAATGACATAATTATTATAGAGTTGCCCATCTTAAGTTTTAGATAAAGACTTAATGGTTTCCATAATTATTTCTTTAATTTATATCCAATTTCTGAAATTTCAGATAACAATTTTGGTGGCTGCTGAAGGAGTGCATAAATTGCCCCCTATCAATGGAAGTGGTGACTTGAAGGAAGCCTTGCAAAAGCTTGCCTCCATCCCAACAAGCAAAGTACTGGTAAGAATTGGCTTATTCCTCAATTACGACTTGTCGAGATTGCTCATTGCTGATATCTCTTTGATTTTCATTTAGGCAGTTGAGGTCTTGTGGACACCTCAGAATGAAAATGACACACTATCAGAGCGGGAACTACTTGAAGACTACCCGCTTTTGAGGCCTCTATAAAATTTTATCAGTAGGTACCTTGTATCTTCTGATGAGAGGTATCAATTGCTACTTCTTCTTATAACCTTGGGTTCATTTGTATATAATAAAAGCATATTGGTATACAGAGGTTCTGGTTGTCTAAGACTGATGTGGTCTAGTGAACTGGATTTGTAAACATATAAAGGCAGAGGGTGTATATTTGCTTGAAAGCATTAGTTTCTTGTTCCCTTTTTCTCTCTTTGATCCAACTCCAAGGCTTTGACCACTACCAAAATCTTTCACCTCAGACCTTTGCTTTTATCTTTTTTTTACCCTTTAGGTAATATAATGGTTCTTCCACCTGTTTCACACCTTCTGCCTTTGACTACATTGTTTTTCATAAACGCCCAAACGAAATAGTCTCTACAATGAGATTTACACAAGAATTTCTATCAGGCTAAGGGAGCTTTCATAGATTGTAACCTAGAAGGTGGGTATCTATCATTTTCAATTGGTTTTGTGATCTTGAAAAGATGGTTATGAAATGATCACAACCTCTGTTTCATTCAATCTAGGGATGCACAGAGCATTTTGGGGCTTTTAAACTACTCCAACTAGTAATTAGTTAAGGGTACGGATATTTCAAATGGCTAAAATATTAAAAAAGCCTTTGAACTATTCAACTTTATTTAAATAAGCCTTTATACTTTTATTGAACTCAAATAAGCCTTTATACTTCATTTGTATCTATATAAACCCTTACTTCAAATAAAAGATTGATTTATATTAAGGATATATTTAGGTACAAATTGAAGATTAAGGGTTTATTTGGATGCAAATTAAAGATTAAGGACTTATTTGTTTGGAATAAAAGTATATTGGTATATTTAAATAAAATGATAAAGCTTCAGGGTTTTTTTTTTATTATTATTTTAGTCTTTTTCAAATTCCTGTGGGAAAGGGAGATCTGCCTGTTTAGGTCATGTCTGGTTATGAACATGACAGTGACTAGAAGTTGGCTCAACTTTAAAAGTATTGGTCATTTATGTCTGGTAATGGACTTTATGCCTAGCATTCACCACTATTTCAGATGAAACAACTTTATGTTAGGTGGTGCATTTATTATATTTATCTTGGAGTGGGAAGTGGTGAGAATTGAAGATGTTTCTATTTGAATTTCCATTAATTTTCCTCATCTACTTTTTCATCTTTACTTTTTATCATTTTCCTTTTGCTTTATCATTGGAGAATTCTCCAGATTTCAGTTTCATTCCAGGGTTTTCAAGCATGGTAGTAAACTCACTCGGTTAGGCTTTTCCATTAGTTTGTGGTTTGCCTTTACAAAGGGTTTTCACTTTTTATTGCTATGTTTCCTTGATGATGACAAGAGCTGTTTCAGTTGCCTATTATTTGTGACACATACTTGTAAGGATAAAGCAATCATTTCTCTGTTAGTTATCATTGACCAGGAAATGTATGTAACAATCTTTTCTAGCCATAATTGATTTGTTTGTGGGTGAATGATAGAAGAAGGCCTTTGTATTTTCTGAATTTTTTTAAAAATTTAGTATCATTGTAATTTAGTAAGAAATATTTATATTTAAAGGGTGTTACTCTCTGGCCATTTCTAACTTTTAATCAAATGACTTTACCGTTTTACTATTTACTTTTTCTTTGAAACACAATTTGTTGGAGTAAAAAGAAATGGTAAAAAGCACTTTTACTAGTGTATTTTTTTTTTTATGAAAGAAGTCGCAATCTAAATATAAAAGTAGAGAATATAAATATTAAAATTTAAATTTCAAATTTATTAGATATCAATTCTTAAAATGATTATATGAATAATTATACTAATTTTCAAATTCAAATTCATTTTAATTTGCCGACATGAATAACATTTTAATATTGAGATTAAGATGTGCATGAGTTAATGGAAAACTAGAATATTTATCTTCTTAAAATTTAAACCATTTTAGGTCAAGTCTAATGTCATGGTATTAAAAAAGAATCATGAATTTTACATTAATTATATATTAAAGTTGGTATATTATCTGTAATTTGTAAAATATTTTTTATGAAATAAAATCATAAGATTAAAAAGAGATCGAAACAGATAATAATTTATAAATTAATGTAAATCATGATAATTAAATTGATTTAAGTTATTAAATGAGTTTATATTCAAAATCTGAAATCGCGTGAACTTAAAACTTAAATCTTGTCGCGTGACATTAACACATGTCATCCAAGCTTGGCTTTCATAGATTTTGGGAAATAATACAATTTAAACGTTTCAAAAAGGAAAAAGAGGGAAAAAAAAAAAAAAAAAGGGAGAGGAGGATAAAGCTTCCTTTTGAACATAAAAGACTGACGTTATAATTTACGTAATGTTTTTGCATACTTTTTTGTCAGTTCTAAAATGCAACATGGCAATGGAGGTTCATTGAAGCATCTTTCATTCTTTTTTCCTATTTTTAATACCTTTTGAATTTAATAAAATAACCCTTTTTCATCCATAGTTGGGTACTGTTACTGTAATCTCAAAATTATTAGTAGAAAGAAAATGAACAGGAAAAAAAAAAAGCAAAGTTAGCTTCTTTTTTCCTCTTTTTTTCCTTTTTTGACAAGTGGATTTCCATTGGAGCCATGAAGGAAACTGCCTTCCATTTCTTACTCAGAGTAATGCTTTGAAAACTTGACCAAACCAAATGAAATTTCATCGGCACTCAAGGTGGTAGTTGTACTATAATTTGTACAATCTGTCGGGCAGATTGATTATTATTTGTGGATTTAATTATCTAAAAAGATGGCATCAAAGTCAGCTTAAATGAGGTCAGTTTTGTGGACCGGTCTCCCACCTTTTATTGGAACATCTTGTTCATTGTGGGCAACCACCAGATTGTAAAGAGATGAGCATGCATGGAACATGATTCTTATTCATGCTCTACCCTTTGGAGGTCCCTGTCATTTACTTCCGTTTTGAAAACCCCTCTATAATTGACACTGTGGGGCCTTTTAGCATCAAAGGCTAAAGCTCATAGAAAAACTCTAATTGGCCAGCTGCCACTTCCCCCCTCTTTTGCCTTTTTTTTTTGCTTTTTGTAGAACATGATTGACATGGCCAGCTAGAACTGCCCGTGCCCAATGATTCATCCACTCAATTCTAACAGGCAATGCCAATGTGTTTTAGGCTTTTAGATACTGTATTTGAATACTTCATTTATAGGATTTAAAGCTAAATTTCGCTTTCAACAGTCTTCTTTGATGAACAATTTGTAAATTTAATGAAAATTCTCTTTAAAACCTGTGCTCTGTCCTAACATTGAGACGAAAAACCTTCTTTCCATAAACATTTTTGTCATTATAAAAAAGGTAAATGCTGATGTTTATAAACTCTACTTCATCCAAAATTACAGGTGAATGGTTTCGATGTTATAGAGAAAAATACTTAAGGCAATTATGGTTGGATAAACCATGATTATGACTTTAAATCTGTTTCATATTCACTCTTTTCGTAAGTTCTTAAATAGGAGGAAAGGGAAGACTCGTATGGAAGGTGAAATAGACATTTGGTTGACCACAAAAAGGGTGGATTTTATATTGTACAGCCTCTATATAAGTGTACAGAATGTTCAAAGAATGTAAAGCCGTACACATTATACATCAACTGCATCAACTGGGAGGGATGTTGTCCTGTGAAGAGAGTGTGGAAGCAGTGATCCTGAGAAGAAACTCTGAGCAGTGACCATGTTCTCTACTCTGTGAAACTCCATTGCTTCGCAATACCAGGCCCTTTTGGTATCCAAATTGGGGCAGCTCTTATTCTTATAGTCATGGAAATCGGAGTTAAAATAATTGTCATTGGCAGAAGGTTTCACTTCATTTCCTTGGTCCCTAGGTAATGTGCTAGAAGTTGGTAATGATGAAACCTCATCACTTGTTTTCTTGTCTCTGTTACTACAATTCGAAGAGTCTAATACAGGTCCCAGTTGTAGATCTCTAAGTTCTCTTAGTTCAATCTGGTACTTTGCCTTAAGCCATCTCAGTTCCTGTTGGACTTTGTTCTCGTAATTGTCTGAGAGATCACAATATAATGGATTAACTGTGGAGAAAGAATGAGAACCTGTCAAACACTGGATTGAACTTCTTGCACTAGATGTGATTTTATTTCCTTCCCTCACTTTTTTATTGTCCATTGCTGAGAAGGATTGATCTAATTTTTCTTTATCTTCATCTGAATCGCTCTGTCTAGAGTCCACCGGACTAAGTTCACAGCTTTCATGCTGATCCCATATTTCCTGGTAATGCAAATTGTCTGATTGGCTTGACTCATTTGGTGCACCATCTGTTACATTATGCTCAGATTCCTCAACCCGAAAAGTGATCTCTTCAAACCGACCATGCATTGAAGCACATCCATTTCTACAACCCTGCAGAAGTTGCAAGTCTTTGACACCTGCATTATGTGTCAAAAAATCCAAGAGGGAACCAGTAGATGTACGGTTGGAAGCACAATTGTGACAGAAGTTTTGATTTGCAAACCGGGGTGTTTCCTCAATTCCTGGCCCTGGCCTCCATTCAGGTACCAAGGAGGCAATTTCACCATCAATCATATCCGCTATTTTAGTCACATCTTGGTCAGTGATATCCAATTCTGCAACCATTTCAGTCGCAACACTCAATGCAGTATCAGTTTCAACATCGAACCGGAAATATATATTTCTGATACGACCTGCAAGTTGACAGAAAAAGAAAGTACTACTCAGATTTCCACAATCAAAAGGCTGAGAATTTGCAGAAAGAAAGTTAAGAAAAGATGAAATAAGTTCCAAACCTTCTTTATCTGCAATCCGAAGTCTCAAAAAGATACCGCCATCATCTCCCCTCTTCCCCTTGATGCTTATGTCAAGATTTGCAGCATGGTCATCCTCCTGACATTCAAAAAGCTCAATTCCACTGGATTCGATTTCAGCAGTATGATACCCCCATTCATTTGGGGTCTCATAACCATAAACATTTGCGTATCCATTACTATAAGAATTACTACTGTGATGAAGTTCTAGATATGGTTGCCTAATGAGAGGACCCATTTCATCAAGTTCTCCCCCATATTCTACCGGCCTCAAATCAGATTCACAATCATCAATCTGAAGAAAAGGGTCATTTAACAACTCTCTGGCAGAGAGCCTCAAGGACACAGTTGCCAAACATTTCTCAACAAATTGTTGAACTTCCGGATCTTTCACTTTATACAAAGCATCTGGTTTTCTACCCTAAAGGAATAAAGCATGTTAATGGAGATGCGGGCAAAAAAGCAAGTCAAATAAAGGAGAGGGAAAGCTCTTACAGAGATAACTTTCTTGTAGATTTGAGCAGGATGAGTGCATTCACTATATGGATATTCAAAAGTAACCATTTCTAAGATGCACATTCCAAATGAATAAATGTCAACTAATTCATTGTAGGCTTCTTCATACACCTCTGGTGCCATAAACTCTGGCGTTCCTGGAGAAAAGAAAGCCCAAAAAGGAAAGATGAAGTCTAATTTGACTCTAATTTTATCAAATCATTCACCAATTATCCGAAAAAGTCGAACATTTCTCAAAATAGATAGTATATTGTTTCATTCTGAAATCATTTCTACCTCCCAACCGAAGTTCAGTTCAAGATATCATGAAAATCGGTCAAGTTAAACATACCAACACAGTGAGCAGCATGAGATTTCCGGAGGATTGCAGCGAGGCCAAGATCACCTATCTTCACTTCTCCTTGGTTTCCATTGACAAAAATGTTGTCACACTTTAGATCTCTATGAATCACTGGGGGGTCATGGCTATGGAGATAGAGAAGTCCTCTCAAGATCTGCCTACACCAATGCTTCACTGCTCTAATGTTGACTCTCTTGTGCTTTGACCTATACCTGCCATAACTCAAAAATGAAGGGAACCCAATACAAGAATCAAACATCTGAGTAATCCCAGAAGAAGCAAATTAAACATCAAAACAAGATTTTAACAGTTTTCTTACTGTCTTAAAGTTCCAGAAGTGAACATTTCAGTGACAAAGTTAATGTTCCTATTGGCAGTATCAACCCAAGAGGTATAAAACTTCATGATGTTCTTGTGCTTCAATGTCTTAAGGAGATGAATCTCACAGTAAAGTCTTTCAAGATCTTCAGGGCTTTGTAAAAAATCATATAGTTTGACTTGATTCCAAGCAACTTCAATTCCTTGATACTCATCAAATGCTCTATAACTGCTCCAATCAAACAACCCAACAACTCACAAATCAACCAAAAAACAGAACTCATTGTATTAATGATGCATAGAAGCATATATAATGAGGAAATATGAACTGGGTATTCAAATAAATGAAAACGTATTGGAGTTTTGATTCATACACTATCTTTGAAGCACCTTTTCCAAGGATTTCATTGTACTACAACAAAACAAAAAGGGATAAAAAAAAAAAAGAAAGAGTAAGCTCAAAGAATCAAAAACTTCAACTCAAAGCTGGAAAAGGAGACAGAAAGAAGAAAGAGTCAATTTATACTCTGCCATATCTTCCAGTTGGATCAACTTCAACATACTCGGAACAATCTGGTTCACGATGTAAAAGACCATTCATCCTCCAAAGAGAAAAAAAAAGTTTATATTTTGTTTATGCTATCCTTTTTTCCTTGTTATAACAGAGATTTCTCCTTTACAAACTGTTTTCTTCTCATACACGGGGTGGGAAAATGAGGGAAAAAAAGATGGTTTTTTTTATATTTTCTATAGCCTTTTTGGAGAGAGACACAAAGAGAAGAAAGAGAGAGATGAGAAATGATGAATCATGCACATGAAGGAATAAGAAAGAGTGTTTTTTGAGTTAGAAGACAAAGTTTTTAGGCAAATCCTGCCACATTTTTTGAGGGGATACATACAGAAAACCACCCACCCCCATGAAGGAACATGACAAACAAGAGAGAGAAAGAGAAAGACAGAGAAGGATCTTCTCTCTTTCTCTCTAGAAAAACCTGCAAAAAAAAAAAAAAAGTTAAAAAAGAATGCTTAGGTAACTCATTAGAAACATGGACCCACATCAATCTGATGCTCAAATCTGTATCATGTTCCAGTTTTTACGATTTGGACATAAAAAATACTACCAGTACAAATACCGTGCTCAAACTGCAAAGATCTACTATCTCTTTCCTGTGTCTGCGGCAGACCCAAACCAAACCAACCTCTATCTTTCACCCAACTAATCCTTTTACCTTTTTCCTGGATTTTTTTCTTTACCCGCAACGATTAGTAGGAGTATTAAATTAATCGATTATATTAATTTAATTAATTAATTGATTTATTATTAAATTAGTTTTGATCGATTATTAAAAATAATTTTTAAAAAATTTAATTTTGATTAATTTGCTTAAAAATTAAATTAATCAAAATTTTAATCAAAATATAAAAAAATTTATATATGAAATTGTTCATTTTATTTTAAGTTATTAAGCTTTTTAATTTAATATTTTAGTATTTAAATATTTTTGTTGAAAATTTTTATTTAATTTGTTTTAAATATAGAATATTAATAATTTAAAATATAATTTATTTAATGTATTTTATTATTTGATTAATAAAAAAATTAATCAAATCGAATGAATTAATTTTAGTCGGTTAATTTTTAAAATTAATTAATTAATTAAAATAATTTAATTTAATTTGATTAATTTGATGTTTAATAATTTAATTTAAAATTAATAGAACCGACTAAATAAACATCTATGATAATTACCATATATATTCATCAAGTGTTTTTATGTATAATAAAAAAAATTCAAAATTTAACTCTTTGAACTAAGGCACGTGTATTTAGCATCAAGCAAGATATCCAAAGTATAAATGTATATTCATCTAGCTAAATTTCAAGAATACATGAAGTTTATGCATTTTGAATTCTAATATGGTACTTAAAGATAATACAATTATACATTCTGAGTATTTGATTAAGTAATTATTGTATGATCATCTCCTAAAAAAAATATGTTAAATTATTTTTATCAAATAACAAAAAATAATAATATAAATGCTCGAAATTTAACTCTTTTTCATTTTATATGGAACAAGAATTTATGAGTAGTGATATGGCTACAAATTGTACTTGACAATCTCAAATATGATAAAGTGATATGATATGAAAATGATATCAATAAAAAATATAAAAATAACACGTTTAAAATTTTAAAAAAAATCATAAATAAATTTAATAAAATAAAAAATATATTTTATATTTTTATGTTCATATAAATTATGATATATAATTTTTATATAAAAATATAATGTAAATAAATAAATTATTAATATTTTATACAATATAAATACATAAATTATCAAATTTAGATGCAAATACAAGCAAACAAGGTTGTAATGAATGTTGCTGAGAGATAATTTTTGTGTAGGAAATTTGGAAAAGGGAAAAAAAAAAAAGCATAGTTAAATTTGCCAATTGCAACTTGGAGTGATAGCTTTTAATAGGGGGTGGCTTGGCCTAATTTGCCGGCTAGTTTTCAATTTAGCATTATAAAAGCGATTGGAACATGGAAATTGGTGCGAGACCTAATCAAATTTATCTCAAATTGCCCCTTGGCCAATTGCAATTCAAAAAGGAAAGAAAAAGGAGGGCAAACTTTATATATATGTACACACACACCATGTTGAAGTCAAGAGCTCTTGATGTTGAATACTTGTATCAATAACTTGTGAATAAATTTAATTCATATAATTAATTTTAAAAATATGAGATTCAGTAAATATAATTTTTAAATCTCAATACTTTTTAACTCATTTTCATATCTCATATCTCCTATCTTTTATTAAAAAAAGGTTGGATAGGCTATATTTATTGATAAAAAAAATTGGTGCTATCTGCACTCTAATTTTTTTCTCTTCACACCTTAGTGCTATTAACATTCAAATTTTTACTCGATACATCCCAAACCTAAAATATAAATTTATCAAAAATTCAAATGCCCATTTTTCCTTTTATTTTATCATTTCTCTCTTTCCAACCAAAAATCTAAAAGATTTTTAATCTCAATCAAACCAAATTGAAAAAAAATTTCACTCATTTGAAGTTAAAAAGCATAAATTTAAAAACAAATCATTTGTTTTTTTTTTTTTGTTTGATTTTGTATTTAGTTTCATAAAATTTTATATTAAAATATTTGGATATGATTCAAAACTTTCAAAGATAGATATTTGAAAATTTTTAAAAATTTTCCAAAATTTAAGATTTTTGGAAATGAATATGTGAAAGCTTTTAATAACTTTCGGTTCAGAAAACTTTTAAGAGCTTTCGAAAATATTTTTGGAATAAGATGTGAAAAACAAAAAAAAATGATTAATGAGTATTTAAGTAATTTTATTAAAAATAAAATTTTTAGGATATATTAAAAAAAATTGAATGCAAATAGCAGCAGCACTCTTGATCAATTTATTTATTTTATTTTTATAAAAGAAGAAATATGACAATTATGTCCATTTCAAGTTTGGGTTTAATAATTTTAAATTTGACTGAAAGGAGGCGAAGATTACGTATAAAAAGACAATCGTATGTTAAATTTGAATTGCATGCTTTAAATCATAACAAAGTCCCAAATTACCAATCATATTATCATTTTTTTTTATTTAAAAATTTAGGAAAAAAATTACTTTATTTCAGAATCAGAGCATATCGAAAATATCACGTAAAATTTATATTATATTTATACATCTTTCATTAAAAAAATTTACTAATAACAAAAATTAAATTTATATAAAATATTTAATTATTACCGATTCAAAACTGATATTAGCAGCATCATTTCAGTTTTCACTTCTATCATTCCTTTCAATCCTCATGAAGATGGAAAATAAAAAAAAAATTATTTATTTATTTTCCATTTTTTAGAAATATAAATGGCTATCAATTTTATTTTATTTTTTTAGTGTTATGGTATCAAGGAAGGTTAAAATCTGACAAAGCTTATTTTAGCTGATTCTTTCATTTACTGACAATCGGCGAATAACGTGGATTTGGTTTAAACTTGTTAAAATATAAGATTGCAAAACGGAATCTGCTTCTTTTCTTGTTTTTCTCTTCTAAACAATTTCTTGCAGGCCAAAGCCAATCCTTAAATCAGCCAATCCAGTGCATTTTTTTGGCCAAAAAATGGGTTTAATTGTTTTGGTAAAAATAATTAATTAATTATTGTTAATTTAAAGCTTGTGCTTATGGTAATATATATAGATAAGATTAAATTTTATAATTTATGTATTTATATTATATTTTACAATTCGTCTCGACATAAAAATATAAAATATTTTTTTTATTTTATTAAATTTATCTATAATTTTTATTAAAATTTTAAATTATATTATTTTTATATTTTTTATTCATATCATTTTTTTATTATATCAGTATGTCATATTTAAAATTATCAAATTTAGATAAAACCTAAAAAGAAAGGAAAAGTAATGAAGGATAAGCAAAGTATATATTCTTATCAGTTATCACCTGTTTTATTATTATGGTTTGATAAATGAAAGACTTATCTGTTTCTTTTTTTATAAGCAACAAATCATGAAATGTCTCCTTTTATCAACTCTTTCCTTTTTCTTTTTTTTTTTTACAATTTGAAAATTTGAAATTTGAAATTATAATTACTAAAATTAAAAGTTCAATAATCTCTCAATAGATAACACAAATGTTGACTAATATATCTACTATTTATTGATACAAAATTCATTCCATAGTGTTAATCATGCCTTTTTTTAAAGTGTTAATTTTGGCAATTGAAAAAAAAGGACAATGCTAAAAATATACACATTTATGTTACATAAATGTTTTGTTATGACTTTTTTAAAATAAAAAATAAAATGGATTTTTTTATTAGATTATAAAAATTAATGTGAGAAAAAAAATAAGTTGTGTGTATATTTTTAAAACAATTTATTTGATATACTAATAGTGAAATTTTTTAATTTTACAACTAAGATAAATAGACAATATATATCCCATTTATTTTTTAAATTAATTTTTTAAATTTTTTAAAAATATACACTAAGAGGCATGTGTTAATATCTTAACTTCACTTGTAAAATTTTAAAAAATTATATTATCAATATGTCAAATAATTTTTCATATTTATATATATGACATTTTCTTTGAAAAAAAATTAATATTAAACAATATTTTTACAAAGAATCAAATATTAATTAGTTCCACACAAAAATAAGGTGACTAAATAAAACTCCTAAAGAATATATAGCAAAGCTTTCTTCCTCTCAAAATCATGTGTCTAGAAATTTTCCATTTTTAAAGTGTCCTTTACTATCTTATCTCTTTTTGACAAACAAAAAGAAATTTAGACTTTATTGATCCCATCTAAGCATTAGGCTTTCCTAACTCAAGAATTATAGGGTGTTTGATTAAAAAATTTTATAAGTAAATGCTTACTTGATTAACATTATACCTAACTCTAGGTACTCATTGATATTTTTGGGATATAATGAGTTTCATTAGTATTAATCAATTGCAAATTTAAAATTTATTCCAAAGGCTATAATGCATAAATAGACCTATTTATCAGTCGAACAATCCATCAAGCTTATAACCTGGCTCGATTTGATCGAGCTTAATACTAATTTATTAATAAAAATGTTTATTATTTAATTTAATTTAAAAATATATTTAAAAATATTAATATTAAAATCATATTTTAATATTTAATATTATTTTAAATAACATCTAACTTGTTTAAAATTTAATAAATAAATTGAGCCGAGTCAGGCTTTGAAATGTTCATTAAACTAGTCTAATCCAATCCGTATTTTTTTTGTCTAAGATATTTTGTTAATTATTTTAAATTTTAATTAATCTAAAATCAAGTTAAATCAGACATCAAATAAACTCTCTCAACACATGTATTCTCCGTTAGTAAAATTTAAAACTTAAATCTTATTTTAAAAATATCAAATTTCTTAATCACCCAAACTAATAGTCGATGTAACTCAATCAAGGTTTATCCCTATGTAAAGCAACCTCCTTTTGCTTTTAGTTTTACAGGAGAAAAGTAAAATCTCCAGAGCAAGAGCATTACCACGACAAGTTAATGATTAAATAAGGAGTTAAAGGACATTTTGGTAAATTGAAAATGAATAAAAAAATGAAGAGGACAAGCCTCATGGATGACGTGAAATGCCACGAGTCGTGAGAGGA